AATTTTTTCTGTGAATGAGGAATAAAGTAATAACCTCGCGTATGCTTATCAGGAAAACGGCGAATTAATCAAGTGAATAGTTTTTTTCCTTCATATCTCGTTTTTATCATCTCCTTCATGTATATTTCCAGAGGTGAGAAAATTGCGCAACAGATATAATGAGGCTTGCTAATTGAATAAGGATAGATGAGTGTTAGGAACACATTTTTTAGTATGGTCTCATGTAAGCCCATAAACGTTCACATTAATTTTTTTCGTCTTTCGCTTCTTTTTTTTCTTAGCAAAGATGAAGGAGACTCTGCAAGATATTTCGTTGTTATGTTTCTCCATTTATTGCTGAAAAATCTATCCACGTCTTTGAGATCCTTTTTTAAATCACATTCTTTTAAGCTTGTAAAAAGAGAATAATGTGGTGCTGAGTTAGGAACACCAACTCTGACACGATGGAGGGTCCAAAACAGCGGTGAGGCAATAGAACTGCGCTTCTTATTACCGCACTCTTTCTAGTGTTGCAATATTTGGTATTACAAAAGCGATATCATCATCAAATCGAAGATGGTGTAACTCCCGACCATCGATTTTCACTCCCATATTATCCCATTCCAATGATCGCATGACGTTCTGAGGGTGGCGGTAAATAATTTTGGCGAGATGGTATCGCCTTGCCTAACTCCTTTTTTGACGTCAATGTTAATATCGTTGTAGAATGGTGATACCTTGGTTGTGAAATTTTTGTACAGCTCACGGATAATCTCTATGTCTTGAGTAGGGACTGCTTGACTATCGAAGGCTTCCAAGACAGCTTCTATCTTAACTGAATCAAAGGCCTTCTATAAATCGACGAAGGTGAGACAGAGCGGTCTTTTGTACTCTCGCGATACTTCAACGAGCCGTGTTACCGTGTGGATGTGGTCCGTCATACCGAATCCTTTTCGAAACCCTGCTTGCTCACATGGCTGTCTTTCATTCAGTGTTCTGTCAATCTTGTTTAGGATGAACCGAGTGAAAAGTTTGTAGACGACGGACTACAAGCAGATTGGGCGATAATTGCCGATATCGAGTAGGCAACCCTTCTTGAACAATAACACGTTCTTGCTGGTCTTCCATTGAGTAGGGACCTTGCATGCAGACAGGTAGCGTGTGAAAAGCCGGGCCAGTGTGTTTACTAGGATTGGCGGAAGGTTCTTCAGGTGTTCAGCTCTTATCCTGTCCGGACCTGGTACTGTTCGATTTTTCACCGATAAAATAGCACGTCGGATTTCGGAAAGGTGAAACCGTGGTACGACATATCCATCCTCCTTATTCCATAGTGGGAGAGAGGACGTGGTTATCGAAGAGATCCGAGTAATATTCGTAAATGATTTTCTCCATTCCCTTTCTGGACGCTGTAACTGTTCCGTCTGGGCGTCGGAGTGCAATCATCTTGGTCTTGTAATTGGCTAAGCTTCGGTGGGCTTTGCGAATGCTTTTCCCAGCCTTTGCAGCTTCGACCATTACTGCTGCTTTTCTCTCTTTAAGTTCTTCTTTTATCGCCTTTTTTTTATCGCCTATCTGCATTGTTTTGCAAGTTCGGACGTGAGTTAGCGGTTGCCTGAAGCTCATACGATTCCACGGTGGCGTTTTAGCTCGTGTTTCTGGAGGCAAACGTCTCTTAGTGACTTCTGAACTCTCGGTTTCATAGCACTAGCGTGAGGATGTCGAATGAGCCGATCGTATTTTTCGTCGATGTTATCGGCAACGGCATCTTCCCAACAGCTGACTAATGAATTGAATAAATCCCAGTTTGTGGTGGTTCTGGGACTTCGGTTTTTAAATTTAGCGGCTTTTTCTCCTTTCCTCGAAAAATAGAATCTTGCACGAAGAAGGCGGTGGTCTGATCCCATGTAGAATTTTAGGACAACAGCGACATCGGTTAGGTAAAACCCTCTATTTGCTATGATGTGGGCTATTTCGTTATGGTACTCTACACTGGAGGCTCCTGCGTCCAGCGTTGAAGGCGAGGCTTCCGAAATTGTGAGTTATCGTGGATGGTCTTGGTCATCATGGTAAACTCAAGCAACAGCTCACCTTGCTCCTCGCCTTCTAATCCATGAGTCCCAAAGTGACTTTCTTCGGACGTTCTACTTGGTCCACTCTTAGCGTTAAAATCTCCAATGATGACCTTGAAGAATGTATGGTCTTCTCTGTAAGACTTCTCCATTCCCATATAAAACGCTTCGACTTTTTCTTCGTCACAGTTTCATGCCTGTGACGCCACCGGCTCCTCTACTGTCACATGTCCCGAAGAACAGTTTTTTGCAGTATCATAGACGGGGTTGAATGGGTGGCGTCGTCTCGTCTCGGGCAGGCCGATGATGTCGTACCTTATTACTCTTGTTTGCATGACTGAGTCTTCTATCGAGTAATCAGATGCAAGTTTGCGTAGGTTGTAAGTACATATCGCCCCTTGTTCCTTAGTTCTTTGAGGTTTAGGCAGCATAGAATGGCCTGGGGTTTTGCCAGTCTCTCCGTACCCGTTCTACCCAACGCTTCCGAATCTGTGGTTCTTTCAGGGTCAAAGGAATGAGGGCTATTTCTTTTACTGTGTTTATCTTTTTGATACCCACGTGTAGCTTGCTTACGTTGCGAGTCTTCTTCAGAATGGACATGGAGCTTATTTGTTGGATGCGTCTCCTAGCCGTTTTCCATATACTTCGCTGTCGTTTGATTGCCAGCTTTTAGCCGAATTTACTGGTAGAATACTCGTACAATTCGCATAAGCGAGAAGGCACTCACACGCACATGCATGAAAGGCCTCGTAAATGTAGGAGGTATGTGCCAAATCGGCGCAGCAGAAACAGGAAGTCCATTCCCTGGATCCACATGCGTCTCAGGGAAGCAAAGGTAGCTTTTGGTCCTAGAGATCCCTCATATGAGGGAGATCCGTGGAGAGTTGTTAAAATGCATAATAATCTAATACAATTCTTTCTACTTCTGTTCAGCAAACATGAGGTGCTATTCCACTTCCCCACTCACGTAAAAGCTGACGTTTCGGCGGATTTCGTCTTCCTCAGAGCCTGAAAAGGTCAAGTTGACAGCAACCTATTCGGCCAAACACCTCCATAGCCAAACAGAGAAAACGCTAAACCAAGATTTTAATCACATTTAACACAGCTCTGCAAACTCACCGCTTTCTATAAGTCCGCTTTCTATGAGTATGAGTTTGCTGAACAGAAGTTGAAAGAATTGTTCAATCAATGCCGAGGTTAATAGGAAGTCGGAAGTGGGAGTTAATCCGTTATGCAAATAGTACAAAATGCTCCGATTTTAGCATATTTCAACGGAAAATAAGTTTATTGTTGACTCAAGTTATTTCTTGAAAAGTACAGCCATTTTCCTTAAAACATAGTAAACGACCTAAAATAGCTTGATGTTTGCGGCCTGGCTGCATCTACAAGTAATGGATTGAGAATTGTTGGCTAAAGCAGTGTGCGTTTAGAGGTGACTGGTGAATGTATGTTGACCATAACGTCGACTCAGGAGAAGGCTGGGAACTTGTCGTCTTCCAAATTAAACTTGAAGGGCTCTAATTTACCAAGTAAATGTAGGGTCGTCTTTCAAGGTCAGTGTTCTCTTTCCTGTCGCTATAAATCCTTGTATTTTATTAACAAACGTTAATTGCCTTTTTTATCGTTAGATACAATTGCCATACCTTATATTTTTACGATAGAAACCAGATAAACAAGTTGATTTAGTATATTTTTTCGACTAGATCCCTTTAAAGAAAGTTGAATAACACCAAAAAGTGGATATGGTAATCCAAAATGTGATATCTGGGATGAAAGCGTGTCGTGATGTACAGCTGGAGGATGTCCGTCATGGTAGACGGAACGGTGTTCTACGGCTCTTCGAAGTAGAGGACACATTGATATCGCAGTGAATAGATCGTCCTAATTATTGTCGTAATTATCGTGCATGAAGATTTCCTTTAGTAATGAATGGTTCTTCTGTGATAGCACATGGTGATTCTCCTGTTAACAAGAAAACTTCATTGCAGGTTATTCGGTGCAATATGTTGGACCGAACGATGCATCATTTTTTCCTGTCGATAGCCGAAGAGCTTTTCTTTTGATTTTATGTTCTTCTATGCGGGAATTCTTCATTTTTTTAAATATAACCCTCGAAGTTGGTTAATTGAACCTCTATGTATATCAATATAAAAACGATAAAGCTCTCGGCGTAGCTGCAGAAATTATACTTGTAATACAACAATTTAAGAACTGAAAAGGTACTGCTAACTAGGATGCTATATGATAGAGCCATCGAATCTAAGAAGAGGTGCGATACATTTCCACTCAAAAAAACGCCTTAAAAAATGATGGTCAACGCAATTTCATCACCTCATCAAAAGCCTGAAAAAATAAAGGATAAAGCTCTCGGCGTTGATCAATCCCTGAGGGCGCGTCATGCATTCGACTTCATTAAGCATCGCTTGGAGGTGACTGAATGCATATCTGGAGTTTCTAATGACTCGCGGTGGTCTACCGATGCATCGAACCAGTGCTGCTATCCTCTCAGACAAGTCTTGTAGCAATTTTATCGACCTCGGAAGGATGGAGGACTTGGTGAGCCTTGGGCGCGGGAATCGATCCTATGCATAATGCAGAGCGCCTCTGACCACTGCACCACACGCGCCCCTATATCAATATAGAAAATCAATGTTCAACGGGAGATTTTGACAGGCATAGTAAAAATCGCTGATTATATTCAGAGTACTGGACTCTTAACATACAACAAAAGTGTGACGGTACATTCAGTTTCTGCAATAGCGATAAAGCCATGTGGAGTGATACTTAGATAAAGTTTCCAACAATTACATCATACTAAAACAGAACGAGAAAAAGGGTAATTGCGAAAGGTGAACACATAACCGAAACGTTGCTTTTCCTCGATTCTAAAGCAAATTTGCAGAACTTTACGGTTTTTTGAACAGCGATTCTCAAAAATAGTAAACCTTTTGTAGGCTATTCGAAGGAGCGCGTTTCGGTGAAGTTCACGCACTTCAATCTCTATGTTCCGGACAACAAGAACATTACAAACAGGTGCAAAGTCGTCTGTTGAACCTATGTGCGATTTTGAATAGAAAATTTTGCTTAAAACCATGTAACTGACTAACTAACCGTAAAAAACTGAACGTGAAGATCTTTAAATCACGGTGGAGAGTTATGGCAATTCGGTTGTGATATGTTAAGTACTAGTAGCTAAGAATGGGCTTTTGCAAACTTCGGATGAAACGCTATGCTTGAGTTCCCTTAACAGCCACATTCCAGGTGTACCGACGTCGATCACCTGACAGCGGACGTACGCGTGGGAGCGCGTTTGTCGCGAATAAACGAGTGGTGCGGAGATCGGACACCACCACAGTTGATGAGCAACACCAATCTGTTGCAGCTGGAGTACATTACTAAGGTCTCCGTAAGAATTCACTTGGATGCTAATAATTCCCTTGCTTCTCCTAAAGTTGTTCAATACACAAGTCATACAATTGTAGCCGTCACTTTGCTTCTAGTTTTTTCTAGAATTTCATGCCTAAGTAAAGTTGAGAGAATATCGTACAAAAACTACTGCTTTGTTAAGGATTTGGAATAAAATACTCTCTGTGAATTAGTGAACACCTCCTTTACTACTTTGTTAATGCAGAGACCATCGTCTGTTCTCTGAAAACCCGTTTTCTGTCGTGTGTGTTAGGCTTTCTTGTACTAGATTGTTTAAGGACCTAGAATGCAACTTCAGATTAATAAGTGCTCTGCAAAAGCAATTCAGTATTCTTTAAGTAGTGCTGCAAGTGTCGAAGTGCAGAATCCTTATGAAATTCATTTAAATTCAAGCACCGCAGTTCACTTGATAATGGAGGTATTGACAGGAGTTGAGGATTTCAGTCATCGCGTGCACTGCGTGAGAGTACGAAGAACGACATTGGTTTCCGACTGAACTACAAATTCCACACTGACTGGGATATGCAGCACATGCGAGCTCGTAGCGACCGTGACAAGGGTTTGTGGGCTGTCCTCCTCTTTTCGATAAAAATTAAAGACTGCTCATTCGTTTCCGAAAATTGACTTCTTTTGCCATGACAGTTGGCGATTTATTTCTGAGGACACGAAAACGAAGGACCCTAAAAAAACACACAACCAACGTTTTGAACGAATTCCGTTTCAACCAGAAGGACGAAGATTTAGAATAAAAAGGATAATGGATAAAGCTCACGGCGTTGATCAAGTCTTGAGGGATGCCAAGATTCAGAATATGAGTAGAAAACTATCGATGTGAATATCTGTGAATTTACGTCCGTACTGATGAATTATTCTTGTTAGATCCAGGTTTGCCTATCTAGCTCACCTCACACCATTCTCTATCCATTTCTCCCCTCTCTAATGTAGTCATGCAAGAAAAAATTCATAACTTTGAAAAGTTGTACCTAGAGAAACACATTAGTTCATGTGTTCGCTGTCCGTTTGTTCTATTAAAGGACGATTTAAATGTGGTATATACACGTGGCATAAACAAAGAAATTGGTTCTTTTACCTCGATAGGCACGTAGAGAATGACAACTATTCGAAAAGTCCAACACTTATCTCCCCTTAGTAATTGCCTTAGAGACTTGCAACGATTTGTGATTAGGAACAAGAAAATGTTGCAGGATGTCGGTTCGTATTCAACTCTTCGGTGCAGACAAGCGGCAAGTTGTGGTCGGTGAACTACCCGGGACTCTACCCACGTTCACTCTACTGTGAATACATTTTTCACGGCAGTGACGACCAAATCGTGCATATTCATTTCGAGTACTTCGACATCGAGGGTTTTAATCAGTACGTTCTTCACTATTTGCTATTATCACCTTTTTTAGTCGTTTGTGGCTTTAGCGCCAAATCTTGGAAGCTCAGTGATCCGAATTCATTGGTCGTGCTACTGCTGAAACAACGTGAGATTTGTTAGCTGGGGAAGTGGCAGGTTCTTTTTGGTAGATTCTTGAAATATCCTCGCACAAATCTTTCAGTTCGCCGTCAATCGAGGATTACCATTACCGAAGGATTACCTATTTTTAGTGACCAAGCTCCTGATAGGGTCGCGTGTGGGGCAGTTGTCGGAGGCGCCCTGCGATACACACGTAGAATCGATCCTCGCGCCTATGATCCACCAAGGCCTTCATACCTCCGTGGTCGGCAAATTAGTACCAGACTTGTCTGGGAGGATAGCAGCAGTGACTCGATACATCGGTAGGCCACCGCGAGTCATTGCAAACTCCAGATATGCATTCAATCACCTCGAAGCGATGCTTAATGAAGTCGAATGCATGACGCACCCTCAGGGATTGATCAACGCCGAGGGCTTTATCCTTTATTTTTTTAGGCTTTTGATGGGCTGATGGAAATTTCGTTTACCATCATTTTTCAAGGCGTTTTTTTGAGTGCAAATGTATCGCACCTCTTCTTAGATTCGATGGCTCTGTCAGATAGCGTCCTAGTTAGCAGCACTTTTTCAGTTCTTAAATTCATGGTGTTGTATTACAAATGTCATTTTTGCACCTTTAAAAGTTAAAAAATTAGTAATCTTAATACAAGTAATCCATAACTCCAGTTGAGGATAGTATAATAAGGTGCATGGAAAACAAGCGCATTCTCTTCGTATTACTGATTTTTTACGAACAGAACTAGAACTACTGCCGATCACCCTTCTTAACTCTGCTACTGTCGGATAACGCCTACACCTTCGTATTTTTTCCAAACAAGGAACAGAATGGGCGCCATTGGCTAATGTCGTCGCTGACTTTCTGAACCGTACTAACCGAATTTTACTCAGATGTGACGAGACAACTCAAAGCGATTTCGTGTTGTTCAGCAACTACCAAACACATGACCGGACGAATCGACGATTTTGCGGAAAGGTAAGGCAGATTTTGTACTCAGCTGGTGTTGGCTATATCCAGCAGTTAAGCAAAGTGTTCACGTCCATTATCACTGCTTCAATAATTTTTCGGAAGACTTCGATATAAACCTCCCTATTACTCATTTATGTCGGAGAGTGGAAAGATTCATGCTTCCTTTCATCTCAGGTTCCACCACCAGGTCCTGTACTGTCCGAATCAAACTACTTTCGCATGATTTTCTCCAGTAATGACATTTTCGACGCTACTGGATTCTATGCTCATTATCAATTTATCACCCAACGTATGTCTATTTGTTTATTTCAGGTTGATAAGAGCAATTGACTGCTGAGTAATAGTAATAGGCTTTTCCAATCGCCCTCTTAACTATGTGGTCTTGAAATGTACTTTTTAGCAAAGGCGCAGATTACCAGGGTGAAACTAACGTCATCATCAACAAAGCGAATACTTGGGCTGTTCACTTCTATCGTTGTATTTCTATCGTTATTTGGATTTTTGTAGTACATTTGTTTTTTGTATACTTACGGATTAGTGTACAGATTGCACTGGTTCACATGTTTTTCTAGCATAATTTTGACTAATCATGTTTGAGCTCTCTATTTATTTCTGGTTATGATCGAGGTCACCGACGAATAGAGAATGACTATCGTTCAACTAGGTTTCGATTAGACTAGTAACACTACATGGTAAACTTACTTACGCAGTTGGATTGTCGGATAGGAAGACTCGTTTTTGGTGGGTGGTCCTCAGTGCCAATGATAAGCACGAAAAAATTCGTTTTGCAAGCAGAACGAAAAAGAGAGAAAAAGCCTAATGGCAATTCGCTCATACTCGAAATAGAGAGAAGCCCTGTGTAAAGAAGAATGTAGTGGATAGACTCACTAGTTGAATAGATTATTGGTGCCTAATTCTGAAGAGAGGGCACACGTGGCACGGTGGTCGTAGGCGCCCTGCAGCACACACACACGGGATCGATTCCGGCGTTCTTGGCCCATCAAGCTTTCCATCGCTCTGGAGTCGGCAAATTGGTGCCAGACTTGTCTGGGTGTATAGCAGCACTGGCCCGATACATCGGTAGGTCACCGCGAGTTATTATAAAGGCCAGAGGTGGGTTCAATCACCTCCAACGATGCTTAATGAAGTCGAGTGCATGGCGCATCCCTCAGAGATTAATGAACGCGGAGAGCTTTACCCTTTATCTTATTTAATTCTAAAGATAGATAACAGAATGACCCATTCTGGTTGTTTATTCTTTATTTGCAATTCATAAGAATCATATCCAATTCATCTAATCATTTGCTACTTCAAAAAACGGCTGAATATCGCTGTACACGTTATTTATTCCACTTCAAACTCCAATTGTGGGCAATACATTTCATTGCCCCAAGTGATTTCATGTAACTGGAAAATTCTTAGTGATTTTTCTATTTGTTTTTGTTATAGATTAGCAGCTTCGTCGTGTAGAATAGAATCCTCACTTGAAGTGCGTTCATGACGAAACTGTGTAGCTTTGTGAGAATAATATGGATGAACATCCTTGTTTTCACTGTTCCGATCGCTATTCGGATATTCGTGATAAACTTAACAAGTCAGTGATACTGATAACGATATGAAATTAAGCGATGGAAATAAACCATAATATTTGTGATGCACTGAGGAACACGTAATCCTTGTGGTGATGCCTTTAGTTAAAACAATACTACATAGTTGTGAGTATTACTAGTCTGATTAACTGCTTGCCTTTCCTATTCACCACGCGGGACTTCTGTGTGTTAGTTACTGATCAGAACGCCTTGAGACACTGGGTTGTAGTCGTTTATGATAGCAATAACAACAATAACAGTACAGTGATAACGACACAAGACAAAGATTACGAACTGGAAAAGCAATGGCTGAGCGAAACTGGACGAACTGACCGAATTGAGCTGAAAACTGACGGAGCAGTTTACGTTCTTCAAGGATAGGTGGAGTTTAGCTAGTGTAGCTAAAGATATAATATGCAGGGAGAGTTTGAAGAAAAAGCTTGAAACGATGGTTTGAGGAGCAGGTTGCAGAACACTTTCTCAGGCGGTACCACCTGACATGCCTGATTCAACGGGCAATGCGGCAGCTTCGATTGTCTTCATCAGAAAAGCACCATATGGAAGCTCTAGAAAATTTTTTTACAGAGGACGTTGCTATTTGGAGATGAATAAGCGGTGCGAATGGAAACCTGTTCGATAAAGAATGTTCACCAAGCAAATGAAGTAAAGGTAGAGAATACTTGATACTTGATACTTGAACGGCCCGTCCTCATTAAATGTGCGGTCCACAGCATAATCACCGTTTTTCGCAGATTTACTGGTTAAGCCATTGTGGTTCCTTGGAATCCCGAGGTCAGCCTAGCCAAAGTCTGCCCCAGGTCGTCATCACCACAGGCAGTCGCAGCCCTTATGGATCAGAGAGAGATTCGCCACCATGCGACTTTGATACCAGGACGATGGTGGATCCTGCTATTGGTTTACTCTTGGCTAGGCTTCCTGATGGAAACGGTAGAGAATATTCTATAACTATTGATATTATTCTCCATAATCTTCCTGCAAACAATTATTTTGCTGAAAGAGAGTTACGAAGCTATGGCAAAGCTCGACTGCTCTATCGAAAAGATTCTTAGCGTCGAACTTCATTATTTAGGTACATTCGAGACGTTCCTGTCCCAACCCAAGAGCAATACCCGCACTGTATAACCACCGGCAACAGCCTCTCGTACGAAAGTATTTTCTTCTAGGTTTTTAGGAGTAGGCAACGGTTTTTGTGGTCTATGGTCTCTAAAAGCCTGCTTTCAATAGGTTATTGAGCGGTTTCAAGAAGCGAAGGGAAAAATTCTGGGTGATAAAGTAAACAACTGGAAATAAAATGACTATAATACGAATTGCACCAGCCACAATGGCGCTACGTATGACACTCTTCATAGAATAAGCTGACGTTTCGGCGGATTTTGCCTTCCTCAGAGCCGCTTCCTATGAGGTTTCCACTCATGGAAGTATAATGAAATCACATTTCATTATACTTCCATGTGGAAACCTCATAGGAAGCGGCTCTGAGGAAGGTGAAATCCGCCGAAACGTCAGCTTAATCGTGAACAAGGAATAATAACTCCTCGCGTTTGCTCAACAAAAATACGAAGAAAATTACTTGATCAATGCCAAGGTTAATAGAAAGTCGGTCGTGGCAGTTACTCTTCATAGAATGATATCGTTGTACCTGTGTTGTGGAACATTATCCGGTCCAAAATTCCTGGGCACCTCTTCCATTATTTTTTAAAAATTTATAGTAGGCGCCTCGTTTACTGTATTTTCAGTTGCACAACGTTAGTAAATAACGAAATGTAGTTTAACAGCTAGTTCAGTTAACACATTTAGTTAACAAACAAATTTAATTTGTGACCCTCTGATCAGCGGCTCTTCCTCAATGGAAGGCACCTAAAAACTGCTCCGGCAAAAAGGCGATACTGCCGAAACCTCAGCCGCGATTGTGTTGTGTGTTATTGCATGGAAGTAAACGTATGGTGTTTAACAACCTCGAGAGTGCTGAGAGAGAAAACTACAAAATTTAGTGCTATATACACCACTTTCTCAACGAATTTATAATTAGAGCACAATTGTGGCGGTGTAGCATTGGAGTGTAGCATTCTGTGAAATTGAAGAAAGCTTTGAAATTCAATCCATAGCTTCTTTTACGGGCTTTTGTGCCCATAGCTTTTCGATAACTAGAGCTGTTGAGCCTTCAATCGCTTTCGTGTTCGAAATACGGCGCTCTACGAAGAAAAACGAAAAAAAAGTACCGTACAAATTCGGAATTTCGTTCCTTTGAAATAGTAAGACTTGTACCTCCTCAAAGTCAAGAGACTCTTGCGGCCTTAATAAACTCACTACCAGTTGAGACACGTTTATTCCAAGTACGCAATTATTTTTGACTGGGTGCCATTGCATGCAACGCGCGTTGTCCGCAAAATTGCTAGCCGTCTATTTCTTAATCAGAATTTAGCAGCTTCCTTCCGTTCTTTTTAAAGGAGAATGTTGCTCCACCATTTCATGATGTTTTCTAAAAAATTATTGATTACGCACGCAGACGTATATTTTTCGCCATAAGGACGCTGGTTCGATCATTCACCCAGGGTAAGCCAACTGTTTCATCTCTCCGTAGCTTGAAAAATAATACCAAACCTGTTTGATAGGATGAAAGTGTTGGATTTATACAACACCACGCCTCCAAAAAATCACTGCTTAAGCGAAATATGCATTTAGTCACGTCTACAATACCGTGAATGGAGAAGAATGCATACGGCGTCCTTAAGGCGTTTATCAACGGCAACTCTCGCGACTTTCTTCTTCTATAGTTCTCTAGTAAAAGTTTTCCACTGAAATTCATTGACAGCTTGTGTTGTAATATCAATATAAATTCAAACTAATTTCATCTTGTTAAATGTCGATTTGTCTGTTGTTAATTGCCGACGTGCTGTTGGTAGATTCTGTAGAACCGCTGTACTTCAGCCTAAAAGTTGAATGTGGTATTGTTTCTTCCAAACCACAGTTCACCTTCATCTACACCACATATGCTTTTGCTATCATCCCAGTTGATTACGCTCTCACCAATGTTCAAATCATCTTCAAAACAGTCGTTTCATTCTGATTGCCTATGGTCATTTTAGTTCTCTCCAACGATCCTTTCAGCTTGATTTCACCTCACTTCTTTTGCAGTCTGACTACTAATTGGAGTGGGTGGTGAGCGGAAGAATTCGTTAAGCTTCAACCTTTCCCTGGTACTCCAAAATGCCGAACAATTCAGCAGTCAGAACTATATAGACTCCTTCTATTATCTTTTACACTCGACATTTAAAAGGAAAAGTTTAAATTTGGTTCGTAATATTATATGTAAAATGCAGGTGTTGTTACTGCTATTTCAGAGGTGATCTTTTAAGATACACTTCCTTGAAACCTCAAACAGAAGTGATAGCATTTCTTTCGGTTACTTCTGCGGACTTGGGATGTATGCACCTAATCTTGGACTGCATTCTTAGTGTTCCTTCAATGAGTTTTTCTACCATTTGAGCTTAGTACTGCCTATCACATATGTGGTTCTCAAGAGAGGAATATAGAACGATACTTTGTTGATGGTTCCATGCTTTTCGCCCATTTGAAGTATTGTTCGGTAGATCGATAAGTACTGGTCAAATGTCTGCACCGCAAGTGCCCGGTACTTTCGAAGATGTACAACCACCTACAAAGTGAATTCAGTACAAAAGTTTCATACAAAGTATCATGTAACTTTTTCGCGTTTGAAGTTGTACTAAATAGATTGCTAGATCAAATAGTCTTTAGTATTCCATGACCGATAATTTACTTGGCAAGCCCTTTCTAAGATTCTTTCTAATACACTTAGCTAAATATTTAGACATCTCGCCTTCACTCAGTGTTTACTTGCTCCAGCATGTTAGGTTTCTAACTGATGAAGTTCCTCATTTTTATATGATAACCCTTTTACTATTGTCCTGTTTCCTAACTTCTAAAATTTTTAGTAGGGAAATAATCTCTTCGCGGTATCGTTACCATTACTGGTTTTGTTTGTCTTGGAAATCTCCCGAAGTTGTTCCGATAAAGGTCATCCGTTGTTTAGGTTCCAAAAACGAACGAATTTGAACTCGTTAAGAAAACCTAGGCTCTAAGCAAATCGACAAGCACATGAGATTTTTTCAGATCTTCTGTAACTTAAGCTAGTCATTAAATCAGCAAGTCACTGTTTCCTCACAAAATGCTCTGGATGAGGTGACACATGAAGTTGTTGGAATGTTAACCGCCGAGAAATAAAAACATGTTAATAACATCGCACCGCCTCATGAGAGACCGATCGCAAGAAAAATTAGAGAAGTTTTTGCTCGATAACAACCTTAGAAGAGATAGCAGGTTATTTAGAAATTCACAGAATTCCAAACAGTGGCTAAATCTTACCTGGAAGACATTCACTGGAATACCGTTCGCAAGATCCTGCAGACACATTTCTAACGCCATAAATGTACCGCTTCGACCAACACCAGCCGAACAATGAACAACTGAAGTCAGCAGTAAAGGTAAAATTTCGAAATGCTTTGTCATAACCCCGAGATAATTTCCAAGGCTGCTGCGGTACCAGTGCGATAACAACTCTAATTCTTTAATCCTTTAAATGAGAAAAACCCCGCCACAAAAGCCCACACAGCGCGGTCACAGAGTTATGACGGAATGTATAAATGCTCGCCGTCTCAGCATCAGCGTTTTATGGTATGGATGTGACGTAAAACACTCACCTACCGTCGATCTGCCCCGCACTTTTTGTAATAGCCCCACCAAAATGTTATCGCCTGGAGCCTGAAAGCGGTTCATTTTTGCAACGTGTTCGCTGAGTTTTCCGGTGATTGAGAAATTACTGTCGGTTATCGAAAAACTTGTTTCAGCCAGGAAGTCGAGTAGAAGTGAAACGTGCATGCTGCTTTTATCAATTTATCACCGAAGAAAATTCGTGAAACGACAAACGCTTGTTATTATTAATAAATTTGTTAAACGTGTGTCAAATTCATCCTTACTTCTACACAAACGAGTATTTACATCAAACATCTTTCTGATTCATGGAGCTGTTTACACTCTTCAAAGGTCTCGTTAAAAAGATAAAGGATAAAGCTCTCGGCGTTGATCAATCCTTGAGGGATGCGCCATGCATTCGACTTCATTAGGCATCGTTTGGAGGTGATTGAATGCATATCTGGCCTTTGCAATGATTCGTGGTGGCCTGCTGATGTATCGAGCCAGAGCTGATATCCTCCTAGACAAGTTTGGTACCAATTTGCCGACCCAGGAGAGATGGAGGGCTTGGTGGACCCATGGACGCGAGTGTAAATTCCACGTGCGTGTTGCAGTGCGCCTCCGACCACTGCACCACACGTGCCTAAGGCTTCATTAGGGTATTTTATTGTTATGGCTATAGTAATAATACAGCTGGTTGTTTATGTTTATTTGCATCATCTTATAAACTGAGCTTGTTGTGCTGATGTGGGGTTGGTGAGTCTGCGTTGCTGAGTTGCTGAGTCCCACTCTTACCGCACGGCTATGATGAAGACGAAATCGCCGAAACGACAACCCAGCCATTGACCAACAGCACTAACAACAACGACAACGAAAACTTATACCAACCTTGCTTTAGCTCAACAAGATCAGCTTATAAGATCACATAAATAAGTATACCAACTATTTTTGCCGAGGTTCACAGAAAGTCGGTGAATGATTGTTTATGTTAAGCAATATGATTGAGTGTCGAGATAATTCAGCTGATGGGTCTAGATGAGTTCGTCGGATTTTCGGATATTTGGGGAAAAGAAGTATTCGGGAGAAGAAATTTCTAGATACTGAGATAACAAAATAGCTGCCGCTAAACGGACAAACTTGCTCATGTTCCCTACATCTGAATGAAGGAATAGAGTGGAAGTTTTAGGTATCGCGTTTTAACTAGAACTTTGAATTAGAAACGAAATAAGCTTGAATGCAAATTGTCAATTACAATTACGATAACCGTTTTGCACCTTAAAGTCAGACCAGTTCTCCCACTGGTGATGAGTGATGGTGCGTGATTCATGAAGGTAATTGACTTCGAGCATGGATGTGATGACTTCGTCTTCCCACTTTCGGTTTTTCAGCACCACGTTCAGCTGACCATACTTCGTCAAAACGTTGAAGTTTCTGAACGCAATCAGTTTTCGAACTTTGTATTTTCTAAGGCAAAGGTGGCAAAAAAAATGGAGCAAAAAGTACGGCTTACGGGCTAAAATATTCTGCGCATTTTCGTTTTCCATCCTCAATCGTTTTGCACAGCATTACTATGCAAACAACATTTTCTTGCCAAATCATTTGCCAAAAAGTGTTCACTGTTTCCGGAAGAGGACCCTAACAAAGAATCCTACATTGTTCGTATTTAATCAGTCTTTCTTTTTAAACTATTCTTCCAAGTTTATCTAGGCGGATCGGCAGAGCCCCGCGAGCTGCTCGCGAATACCATTTCGATAAAAGGATTATTCATCTTCCCGGAACGAATGAAGACCAATGGTCAGTTTTGTGGTGAGCAAAGAATGAATGGCGCTACTTTTCTGGCACTCACTCGGTGGTTAACGAGTTACAGCTAACACTAGAAGAGCCATTGAGCAATATTTCTGGTATAGCGTACTTAGAAATGGGATATAATACACGATATATGCATAAACTAACTTGTGTAACAATGTACTTGTTTCTAAGTGTTGGATACTCGATCCGATTCGCATGGATATAACCGGCTCCGACCTCTTGACGACAAAAAGTGATTAGAACTCTTGTGGAATCGATACAGGGAATATCTGAAAGAATTCTACACAAGCTAATGCCTGTTTTCCAAGGTAATGTTAACGAATATTAATGTTAATATTAATATTTTCACCACTATTTAATCTTAGGACAACTTATTTTTCCTTTCCGGCTCAGCATTCCAGAACTAGAAACGCCATCGATGATGGGATTTTTTAAAACTTGTGCTCATCATAGAGAAAGTTTTATGCATGACGGTGAAGGTGCCGTGAAAAGAAATGTTGAGTCCTGGCACTTTACTGACGTCATTACTGTACAAATTGGCTGGTTAAACGGACAAAGCGTTACATAGAATTGAACATCGATAGGGTCGTGGATGTCTTATGTTGCAGAATTGAACTTGACCTCTTGTTGCGAGGAAACAAGATATGGCAGTGAAATGAAAATGCATAGAATGCAATGCACGCCGTCCAGTTTACCTTCCCAAGGCATGCATAGCATACATTGCATCTCGGACGTTATGTACCAATGTAGTTCACTGTTCGCGAGATTTTTCATAACAAAGTCACTTTTATGCACCGTACCATATTAGGTTGAGAGAAGCACGTTTTCATTTACAAACCACTTGCTTCCTGAATATAGTTATTTGTCATAATACTTCTCTCTTTCCATGCACAGCAATAAACGCATTTAAGAGGACTACCAACGAGTATGGTAAGAGTGAATAATAAAAATAAAACAAAAAATGAATGGAAGATCGCAACAACGGACGACGAAGACAACGAAGGATAGCAAAATAGATATTATCACAAATATTCAGTTATGACTTCCTATTGTTGGTCACCGAAAGCACCCTTTCACAAAGTGAAATGTGAAAAAAAACGTGGTCTTTATTGTGGCTTTATTTTAAAATTCTTTGAATCTTCTGCGGCGAATGCTACTTGGACGATTTAGATGATTAGTTTTATAAATTCAGTGCTTACTGTTGTAACGATTTTTTCTAAGATTTTGCGGCTCCAGCCACGTTTTGCACATTCGCATATCAGGTTCAGGAAGCCGTTCAAATTCACGTTGAAATTGTTGAGCCGATAAATTGTCGCACTAAAGCACTTCTTTTCAGAGAAGAAAAAAGCTTTCAGTAGTGTTAAATAAATTGCGTTCGTTCTTGGAATCCTTGGAACTCGCTGAACATAATATCTTAATTCAAGGGTCTTCGTGAAAAACTCTGACCATCTGGTCGGTGGTGTTCTTGCTGTGCGTTTGACATCCTAAGGAACCTATTCGCCAGCTCTTCTTGTACATACGTTGTCGCTCAAACGCATCGCGTGTCTGATCCACTTAATTTTCAACATTTCGGCGTTCGCGATTGTATCTGTGACCTTTAAACGTTCATATGGGTTAGAACTTCAGATCTCCGCTTTTATTTGCATAATATGGGTACTTTGACTGTTGCCGTTTCGACTGCACGTTCGACAGCGCTGACCGATCTTTCATACTGCTTATGTAGCGAACAAGTATCCTACCAGTGGTTAAGGCAAGAAGAATCGAATACATGGATACTTTGATGGCCCGCGATCACTGGTTGTGCGAGCCGCAGCATAATCTCCATTTTTCGGAGCTTTGCTGGTGTAGCTATTGTGCTCCCCTGGAGCCCCGAGGTTAGTCTATCCGAAGTCTGTACCAGGTTGTCACCACCACAGGCAGTCGTGGCACTCGTGGGTCACAGGGAGATTAACCACCATGCTACTAGTTTGGTGCCAGGACGGTAGTGGATGTTGGTATTGGTTTACTCTTAGCTGGGCTTTCTAGTGGAAACGCCGGACTCCTCAGCCTGGGAGACCCCACTGGGAGAATGAATCCCCTCGCTGTACATCGCAGCCAGGCACCCAGGTACACTTCGCAGCTACAATAAGGCGGTAAACCGTTGGGAGGAAAGAATCGAATATGTTGCGAAAAGGAAAGTATGAGCACTCATTAGACTTCAAAACCGTCAGTGAAAGAGACAAAAAGATGTCAGTGGTGGTGCTAGTCCATTAACACTTTTTCTGTCGATATATATATATATATATATATATATATATATATTGAGCTGTTGTTTTCGTATTGAGCTAGTTTTATTGCAATTACCTGCACCTTTCACTTGTCTCTTAAGCACTCTATGCAGAACACAGGGTACCGTTTACTACGCAAAAATCGACAGTGTATGGGACCACAGTCAGCAATACAGCAGAGGTCACTGTCCAATATGCCGTTCAACTGCTAGAAGATTAGGAAGTTTGTAAAGCTCGAAGCGAGCCGCATAGTTTCCGTTGTGAAAGCCATGCGCTCATTCTTGTGCTCTTTGGAATAATCTGTGAAAGATCAATGAAGAGAGACTTCTTACCATCCAAGCAAATTCCCGCAGTCGTTGCACAACCATATCCGTTTTTTTCTCTCTATCCTTGCCGCCTGTCTACATAGAAAACTTGAGTTCTCTCTTTAAATAGTAGCTGTTAAACTCTTTTAATAATGGTCCTTTTCTATACTGCCTATTCTTTTTCATGACAGGATACGCTATGAAATATAACCACAACGATGCTGAGATATTTGAAAAACTCCTGACAGCAGGTGTCCCGGTGGGGATTGAACCCGATAATCACCCTTTTCTATGGCTAATTTGTTCACCACCATACCATGCGAGTCCTTCGCTTCGCATTTCCCCCCGCCATGTTTTAACCCATAGGTCCTGTCAGCAATCACCCTTCAACGGCATCGACTTTGTCACATTTAAAAGTGTAGAAAATCACTGTTCTAGTCTCAATTTAAAAATTCTAGGATACGGCGAAGCTAGTAAGTCATGTAGTATCCCAAGATAGATTTTCTATTAACTTCGGAAATGATCGGTAATCCACCTTTTTCTTGATAAGCAGAACAGCATGTTATTACACTATTTATTGACAATAGCTGACGTTCCGGCTGTTTCTTCTTCAGAGCTTGGGAAGCTCAAGTTGACAAGCAATCCACTCAGTGAAACGCTTTCATAACCTCAGCTGATAAAACGTAATGCATAAAATTTCGTTCGCATAATAAACATTTTCTTTTAAGCACTCATCGTTTTGTCATTTACAAGTCTTCCAGTTACTGTTGAAGACCAACATCACAGGGTCCCATATGGGAAGGAAATATGCTCTGCTGAAGTTAAAAAATTAGCTTGAGGTTCAAAAAAAACCTAAGGGTTCATTTTTGGATCTTTGGAGTTTATCCAAAATGTGAGAGAACGTGTAGCGCAGTGGTTAGAGGTACTCTAAAATAAATACCGCTTCGATCCCGCGTTGTTTGCTCACTAAGTCTTCCATTACTCCGGGGTCGGCAACTTGGTACCAGACGTGTCTGGAGGGATAGCAGAAGAACTGACTCGATACATCGGTAGGCTACTGCGAGTCAACATATATGCTATATATGCATTCGACCACCTCTGTCGACAAGTGATGAAATCGAATACATGGCTCTATCCTCAGAGATTTATCAACGCCAAGAGCTTATCATTTTATGCCAAATGTTTGAACACTTTTACGCGCTGATGTTTCAGATTCCTGTGCGAAGAATACTAGTTTTTACACCGAAATCTTCTTCTTCATGTCTTTGTTCGCTAGACTTATCGTTTGAGGGCTTTGTTTTTCTTCTAAGACTATAGCGAAAAACTACCGTCTGGTAGCCACTAGAAATGGCAGCTATTTTCCGCGTCCAATTGGGAATTCCCCTTTTTGCAGTTTTGAGAAAATGCTTACATCCAACTTCACAACAATGCAATAATCTGATATGCGACAGGTTCAACAACTGACAAGGTCAAAAACTAAGATTATATGTACGTGACAAAGGTGGAGAAGTCCTAGTTATTCCTCGTTGTTAAGATCTCGAGATAGCGAAGAAACATCTTCAGGATATATTTATTTATGTGATCTTATAAACTGATCTTCTTAAGCTGACGCGAAGTTGGTACAAATCTTCGTTGTCGTTGTCGTTGTCTTTGATGTTATTGAACGATGGCTAACGTTTCGGCGACTTCCCCTTCCTCAGAGCTAAGGAGATCAGTTTATAAGATCACAAAAATAAATATATCAACTATCTATGCCGAGGTTTATAGAAAGTCAGTCTTTTGAGTTATCTTCAGGATACTTCCCTTTATCGCCTATCACCTGGAAAGGAACTCCAAAGTTAGCGCCGAAAACGAAATAAAAAGTGGATCGGTGTGGCAGGAGTAGCAAGTTTCAAATCATAGTTATTTCACAACATAAAGTTGAAATACTAGTACATCCTGTTTGTTTCTACTAATCAAAACACATGTGTCTATTGACCTCTCAATGTTCAAGGCCAAGCCAGTTATCCGGTGTGGACCTTCGACGTTACCGCCCTTTATATAAGCGTGCCGAATGACTCTGCAATGCAAGCCATCCTCGAACTCCTTGTACAGAACGATGGAGCAATAAACATATATAGCTTCACGATACAGCAATTGATGACCGTCTTAAAGGAGTCCCTAAACTGCTCAAACTTCAAATACTCTGGAAAATTACGCACGAATGAGAGAGTTGGCAATGCGACAGCTGACACCAAGCCTTGCTATTGCATTTGTAGTTAAGTTGGATGATCCAAGAATCGATTTCCAGCCAATGTTCTACTGGAGGTATATTTACGATTCCTTCGTCATCTGCTCCGAAGCACCAACTATTACAAAAGAAATCTTGAAATAACAAACTCGTGTCCGCTCATTAAGAAAACAGTGAATTATGGTAAAGCTTGTTTCAGTGTACTCGAACGAAACCATGATGCCTAAATATTTCTTCTTAATTAGCCGGTAATACTAACACTAAAAGCATGACCATTAAATTTGGTTTTGTATAATCCTTAATGTATTTTATGTGGCGTTGCTGTACGAAGTCAAGAAGGACCTTACTTGTGAGTTCAACGACGCAGATGTCACATTTTCCGCCGATTTGCTTGCATCTTTCTTACAATCCGTGTTATCATCCGTTGTCTCCTTCGCTGCAAAACGATTTCCATAACGACAGATATCTCTATGACAGTGTCGAAAACCTCTAAGGTAAGTCAACAAGTGGAAAATCTGCGAAAACAAAAATCAGAAGAGTAAAGGAAGTTCTTGTCGTAATTTCTAGCTACTCAGCAGGTAATACTACTAAAGAGGAAATTACAAATGAGTGCAGACATTTGTGAACTTCAATGATCTTGCCGCGAAGTGATTTGTCCGTCGCCACTGAATCCTGCTTGGAGCCGTCGTTCTTTTGTGGTGTATTGGCCTAAATCTGTTGCGTTCAACAACTGCTGTAATGTTTAGAAAACATAGACAACTACAGAATATTGGGACTATTCGGTCCTGCAACAAAAGGTGACAATAGTATTACGGTAGATTCATAAGCCTATTCCACAACTTTGGATCGCGCAAGACGTTGTCAAGAAGTGTTGAAGTGCCAAACGTGTCAAAATTCAATCAGTGTCAAATCAGTGCGTAGTAAAAACATGCCAATTAGACGACAATAAATAGAGATTGTTGCACGAAAGAATATGAAAATTCAAGAAAAGTTGTGAGGCGGTAACGGTAAGGTTCGACAATGAGCTCCACACTAAGCGTGCAGAATGACCAAGTAGACGAAATGCGTAGCGTGTTGTTTAAAACGACAGTAATGAAACAGATAGAAGGAAAAAGCGCTTCGTTTTCTCAACTACTATTAAATTTTAATGAAGAACAAAAAAGGGTAAAGCTCTCGATGCTGACCAATCTCTGAGATACGCCATGCATTCGACTTCGTCAGGTATCGTTAGAGGTGATTCAATGCACATTTGGCCTATATAATGACTTGCGGTGGCCTACCGATGTATCCAGCCAGTGCTGCTATCCTCCCAGACCGGTCTGCAATCAAATCCCAGCCCTCTTAAAGATCAATGTATTGTGAGATTGCGCCCGGCTCGATCACATGTACATTCCATGGTGTCTCCAACCACTGCGCTACACGTGCCCTTTTCACTGCTACTATTACTACGAAATTTTGCACTTTTTGCAGCCCTTCGTATATATAGACTGCAACGAAGTTAGGAGTGAAAACTTGCAGGGCGTTCCATGTTTCCTTAAATGTTCCAAAATTACGAATGAAATTGTGAAAATTCTTCGGCTTTTCACGGTGCTCGATATGGAAGGCTTAATATAGGTAATCGCTTCTTTATCTCACAGACTACAAAAATCTGGAAAACTTAAGCATAATAAACAGAAAAACAATGGACGGGGATGAAAATAGGGCGGATAGCGCAGTGGTAGTGATGCCTGGCATCACGAGCATGGTGCTAGTTTGACTCCGTCCCGCCCAAGGTAAGTCTCTCATCCCTCCTGGGTCGGTGAATTGGTACTGGACTAGTCAGGAAAAAACTCTCTCTCTCTGCAATCCAATTGGGAACTCCAGGGAGAACTACCTATCTGGCTATCTCAGGACTCCAGGGAGAACTGCTCGACCAGCATTCTACGACACTCGAGATAAAGTGGAAATCCTCAAGCAGCAATTTACAGTGGATGCAAGGAAACGAACCGAATGTGAAAAGTGATGGGATCCTACAGTAGATGTAAAGACAAATCAAGTAAAATGAAATAAAGTAAAACAAATGTTTCTTATATGTGGATATGCTTTCAGAAGTTTTACAGATGAGTAGAAATTCATATATTAGCTCCACGCCTTGCCTTGAACTACATCGACAAGTGGGAAAAAAAGAACATATCTTTTTTTAATTCTAAAGCGATTTGCCTTTGGTAACTTAATATCCATTCTGGATGTCGTTTATGACCTAAGCACTTCGGAAAATGGAGTTCGCCTGCAGAGAGGAACTAGCAACGGGGCGCCAGCGCATGATCTAGGCGCTTTGCTAGACCTGTACGTAGCATGCTTTCTGGCTCGTGCGAAGTGAGCAGCGTTTAGTTCATCTGAAATCGAAGCAAGCTTGTTTTCTCATGTTGCTGAGCCCGACACGGTACGCTTTTCGGAATTTCTTCCATGCGATAAGCGGGTCGCTCGAACTTCAACACAACGCAATTACTCCGACTGGAGAGACACAAGTTCGTTTCCTGCAGTACGACGATGCAGCGAACATGCCTCCGCGTGTTCGCTAATAACCAAAGCCGCTCTGCTCCAAAATAGTCCAGTGTGCTTCATGTAGCCGACACATTCCACTAGCATAGTCAAGAGCTGAGAACTTTTTTACCCTGCGCACTTCGCCAACTTCGCCTACCTGAAGTCAAAAATGGAGTTCTTCAAATCACAGTTGTCGCGAATTTTTTAGAAAACCGTCAAGCTTCTTTGGATGCTCTTTTCACGTTTCGACCAACATGATGATTACAAGATAGGTTAACAGAAAGCGTAACAGAATTAATTTTAAGATTTTCTTCGTCTAGTCCTCTTCGTTAGTCCGCTTTCGAATTAACTCAATAATGTGACAGAGGCTTTACTCACTGTAGGTGACGTTTTTCTAACATCTGAAGGGTTAAAGGTTTCTCCAGGTACAAGCGACACCGAGTCGCTCTCATGAGCATCTAGTCTGGAAATAGTTACAATTATGGTCTCAGCATATATCGGTAAACCGACGGAAAGAAACCCGTGTGCAAGATCACTAGAAAACATAAACTTGCTACGTCTAAAATGTAAACTATCGTTGTTTTCACAATCTTTCTTTTTATTTTCCGCCTTCTATTATTTTTATGGTGTTAAGCGAAATACAATCACAAGATTGCTGAGATATTTGCAAACCGCAGGTGTCTGCGGTGGGGAACGAACACGCTATTGTCCTTTCCGGGGAGTAACGCGTTCACCACCACACTATGCGGGCCCTTCGTTTCACCTGTCTCCCAGCTAGTTCTATCGAGCTGTGCTGTCAGCAATCACCCGTCAACGGGATTGGGAGCCCACATCGGCATTGAACCCAGTTGAACTAGCTGAGAGAAAGGTGAAACGAACGACAAGCATGGTGTGGTGGTGAACGCGTGACTACCCGGAAAGGACAATACCGCGTTCGTTCCTCACCCCAGACACCTGCGGTCCGGAGTTTTGCAAATATCTCAGCAATCTTATCGTTGTTTTCTCAAGAATTTCTTCACTTCGTGATAGACACAGTTGCAGCTTAGCGATATAAACAGTGCAATATTTCAAGCAATGACATTTCGGTAACGACTTACAGACCAATGAAAGTGCAGAACGTGAGGAACAAAAACCTGATAGCTTGGAAAGTGAGTGCCGTAGTGGACATTAGTTTTTTGATCCTTCCTTCATTTGAAAATTTGAATCAGTTCTTTTTAACCTCTTTAGTTGCCCGTAAGAAGAGAATGTGAGTAGCAAATAACTCATGCTAGTCAAAATGCCTAGACACTCATGAGCAATGTAAGAGTTATGTCTGCACGATGTTTAAAATACGTTTACACCAGCAGATTCCCAGTCAAGATATTACTGGGACACCAATGAGGTTAAGAACACCGAATTGTTAGCATAAATAGTGAACTTCAACCCTGCTTCGGCTAAGCGGAAGTAGAAGACGTAAGAGGTATTACAAATCTTGTATTTAAGTTAGATAAGTCTAAGGAAAAGCGAAAAAAATTGGAATGAGTTTCGGCGTCCTATCTTTCTTCAGAATCGCATAATCGGGGTCGAGTTTCGATCGCAGTTCGTCGCCGCGACTGAGAAATCTAGTTTTTTTAGGAAAGAAATTTAGAAAGGAAATCCAGTAGAATCTTCTGGAGTAGGGCACCCCACGAATTGTAGCTCTCCTAAGAAGGCGAACGTCTCGGAACAGCCTCAGTGGGGTTCTGGTATCATCGCCCTCGAATAAGCTCACAACACCGCAGAATATTGGTAACAAACTGTGTTAGTTAAGACTGTCATATGCGAAAACTCACAACGAAGCTGCTTTCGTCCTTGGTTTGGAAATCATCCGAACACTTCTACCACTGGTTGCTTTCTACAATTCGAAGGTTACTGCTTTAAACAAACCGTGAGCGATTTCATGCTGTGATGAACTAGAAGCTGAAACGAGAGGACAATTTGAACACTAACAAAACTAGAAAATTAGGGGATAGCACGAAATACTTGTGATGCACGACGAAGCAGAAGAGAAATGGCAAGAGGAAACTAGAAAGTGGAAAACAACTCAACATCACCCACCCATACTTTCTTCGATCTGTTCTCTTCTATAGGTCCGTACTGGTTTAGAGGCATGGTAGAAATAAACCTGTCTTGCCCAACAAGGTTTCGAAATTGATACGATCTTCCGCTATCACTACTCGCTATCCGAAGGAAACACTCAGTGTTTTGATCAAATATATCCATCGATTCATAACACAGAACAAGGTTGCCACCGGTCGGGCACGTTAGTATTGAAAGTCATCATATAATCAATTTGTTCAACACCCAACTTAAAAGGGATTGGTGTTCTCGCGGTAAATAAAAACTTCAATTAACGTGGTTAACAAAACTTTAAGAGAATCTGTTCCTTGTTTTCTTCAGATTAGTGTATTTTAAGACTAGACAAACTTTTCTGTCTCCTTGCAACTGATCGCTGCCTATACCTGTTTGGACGGCATTGGTCGCCAGAGGTATCACCATTCTGTATAACGTCTACAAGAACACCATAAAGCCCAGCATTCTTCTCCTTTGCAAAATTTACACATAAGACACAGATTGTTGTCGACGGTTATTGTTAATTTTTCTTTTGCGCTACTTTTTAATGGATTTAGATGGATTTTAATGGATTTAATGGACTTCGAAACACCTTACATAACTTACACTCGAGTCCAGAATAATCCACGGGAAGAGAATTTGTTTATAGACCAAACAACTTTTATCTAGAACAAAATTACCTATATCACATATTTTCTCATAAACACCTAATAAAATCATCAAACCCCGGCACTGTCTCCATTCCTCCATATCGCGTAGCATAATTGCACAATGGGTTCCTCTCTCTCTCGAAAGATCTAAATCGGATTATAGCTTTGTTCCAGTGCTCCCATAAAATAGTCTAACCATCGGGTCATTGATCTTTTTCTTATGTACTTGATGTCCCACAGAGCTCAGTTACTAACGGACTCGATTTTTTTCCCGTGTTATCTTATTCCAGTCCCTCTGTAACGTTGTCAACAGTAAAGGTGAGAAACTTTGTGCCATCGCCTTGTGGTATTTGCTCCCATGACGTCTTTTTGGAATGGTGGAATTTTGGCTGTGAATTTGTTGTATAACTCGTTAAGAATCTATGTATACAGGGCAGGAATGTCACGGTTGCCTAAATTCTCTTAATCGCTCGTCTCAGTACCATCAAAGGCATCGTCTTAGTTGGTTAAAGTGGCGCAGAGTAGTATTTTGTATATGGCGATACTTTAACAGATATTGCTTTATGGACATGATCCATTATGCCTGAGGCTTTTCGAAAAGCTACTTGCTCTCATGGTTCTCCATCGCCTTACATTTTGTCAGGCATCTAAGGAAAACTGCTGAAGGGGTGGACAACTTAAAACAGCACAAAGATTGAGCGACCGTTGCCGATCTCATCTAGGCGTTAATATCATGTGCAAAAATGTGGTCCGGCTGATTTTCGATTGAGTGAGGATCTTGCCTTATTGCACGAAGGTGTGAAAAGCTGAGTCAGTTGAGTGTTGATGAGGACTGATGTTATGTTTTACAAGGTGTTTATTGCATAACATTTGGGAGCCAGGACGCTCATCCTGGTAGTGTTCATGAACACGTTGCAAGCTATCTTTCTAACCTCTGAAGCGTCAGCCATTAGTTGCTTTGTTCTGCCCTTGAAACATTCTTTATACCCTCTAGGTACAGATTTACAAAATGTTTCCTGATCGGCTTCCAATGTACTACCATTATGGTGGTGCATAGGTCGATCGCACTGTTCATCGATGTCTACAACAGCGGACCCATCGCAGTTACCGTGAGCAAAAGGTATTGTCGAGTAAGGTTATCTCGCTCGCGCTGTGTTCTACTGCGATGTGTTCGGCTCGATGTGACTACGAAGACCCACATCACAAAAAAGAACTGCTTACAAGACTTGATTCAAACTTTGAATAAGAGGTAGACCTTCAAAACTCTAGCTAAATAAAGCTTGACAACAATCTCATGTTAGCATCTCAGTACAACATGTTGACCCTTCATAGAACGGTTTAACGAGAGTCGATTTGCAAAGGGTTTTAGGGTTCCTTATATTGAATTATGTTGCTCTCTTGCTATTCTAAAAAAATTGATCTTACTCAAATAAATTAGTGGTCCGACACGGTGTAAAACATGGAGACAACATCCACATGAACTAGAGAAATCCTTCGATTGGCAATCCTAATTTCGTTACAGTAGTCCCAACACAGAAAGAATCTGTATCCAATGATTAGAAGAGGGCTTTCGGAATTGAGAGTCATTGTTTATGTCCTTGCTCATTATGGTAAACTTAGAAAGCCCTTCAACCAATCCGTAGTTTCCGATAAGTAGTTCTCCTAAATGTCTTCCGAGGCTGCTCATAGTGTTGTAGCTACCGATTACTACACTGTAGAAATTTTGATCGTTCCTAGAAACCTTCTCTGAATCCATCCTCTTCGTTTTCGTGACCGTTGCTGATGGAATCCAGGCGACTGAGCGAGGCTTATCACAACCACGATCAAATGGTCACCTTTCTATGCGTATCCTTCCAATTTGTGACGGTTTTTTTTTCCCGAGACACGTCTTTCACATCTACTGTACGGATTCCAGTACTTCTATCATTCGATTCGTTTCCTCGAATTAATCATCCACAAAGGTCTTCTAACTTTTTACGTGTGGATTCGACTGGTGCTTGATTATTCCTGTGACAGTCGGGCTAGATTGTTTCCATTTAGATTGCAAAGAGTGACTTGTGACGTTAATCATTCAAAGAAACAAGTTGAAGATGACACGATCTCAACTTTTTCATTTACTGGCTATTACTATTTTTCACGGCAGAATAATATATCTGATAAAACCACAATGATGCTGAGATATTTGCAAAACTCCGGTCCGCAGGTGTCTGCGGTGGGAACGAACGCGATGTTACTCATTGTGGTTGTATCACATGCATTACCCTGCCGTTGAAAATAGTAATAAGCAGTAAATCAAGAAGTTGAGATTGTGATTTCGACTATAGCCTCAACCTAACTGGGTTAATTGCCGATTTGGGCTCCCCAGATCAATTCCGTTGACGGGTGATTGCTTATGGCACTAATCCATAGAAAACTAAGAGATAGGCGAAAAGAAGGACCCGCATGGTGCGGTGGTGAACGCACTAGAGCACGGAAAAGGTAATAGCGTGTTCGTTCTCCACCGCATACACCTGAGGTCCGGAGTTTTGTGAATATCTCAGCATCATTGAAATTGAAATTGATTAATTCATATTGACGGGGGCATAACATTTACCTATTACTCAAATCTCTCATGCTACGCCGAATAGCTTCTCTTTTAAGAACGTTTAGTGGATTTTAGGGATCTTCTCGTTTCACCCATCTCGATGACCTCGTGCTTAACCTCGTTACTCTTTATCATCGAGTTATCAATGAAGGACTCCTATGCTACTTACGACTGTTATAAGAACATTAGTCTAGATTAATCACTATTCCAGATTTACGCCAAGTAGAATGGCCATGAAATCTGTCTCTCTATAACTGTTCTACCTACCCATCTCTACGGCAAAGATGGCGCTTTTGTTGCGAGGAGAACGACGTCTTTATTACTCGGTACCTACGGGTAGAAATTGGAGCTATTATATGGTAGGTGGAGCTAGGTTTGGTATCCTCAACCGTTGTTTTCCGAACTTGTTCAGAATATAGGTGGTGCTAATTTGTTGGGGAAGACTCCGAACCATTATCCAACCACTACCCAGCTACTCCATTCCAGAGCAGCGGCTAAAATCGACGTGAGGGAAACAACACATATTTACTCAAGTACACCTACATGCGTATCAGTGTGCATATACGCAGAGAAAGTAGATGTGACTCGGCTCAGTAGGGAAAGGGAGTCTTTTTAGATCCAACTTCCTTACATGACATCGACAATGTCGCGTTTGGTTCATTTTCAGCTCATCAGTCCTATCAAAACGGACGAGCCATGTAGGCTCACGACTTGAAGACCTCCAGGTAGAGAAGCTCCATCGGTTCACAGTAGAATAAGGTTCCAAATCAGAATAATAACCAACTTTTAACAGATATTGGGTAACTAAGGAACGAGTGGCGTAGTAGTAATAATGCCGTTCATCAGTAGCACGGCAGTGCTTGGGCCCCAGAATCACCAAACCTTCATTCTTTTTTAGTGGGAAAACTGGCACCAGACTTTTCAGGGAACAGTTAACTCTCTGTAGCCCAAGCGGGAACACTCTATCTCGGTTATTCCAGTACGCCAGGGAGAATCGACTCACAGCATTCGTGGACGTTCACAAAGAAAACGGCAATGCTCAAGCAACAGCTGAATCCATACGCGAAGAGTTCGAAGGCCTTCATGAATGATAGATGTGAGGAAGCGAATCGAATGCGAGAAGTGCTGGGATCCACAAAACAGATCTAAATTTGGTCGTGTAGAGCAAAATAAGACAAAAATCTTAACTTTAATGAAACTGAGATATTAGCAAAACTCCGGACCGCAGGTGTCTGCGGTGGGGAACGAACGCGGTATTGTGCTTTCCGGGGAGTAACGCGTTCACCACCATACCATGAGGGTTTTTCGTTTCGCCTGCCTCTCAGCTAGTTCTATCGATCTTTGCCACAGCATTCACCCGTTAGCGTTATATTTTTTAAAGTTATATTTCGCAAAATGCCCTGCCATTAAAAGAAAAAAGAGTAGGCGGTAAATAAAACGGTTAAGACAAAAATCTTAATAAATCGAATGAAACTTGATTATCTGAGCACCTCATCAGTTTCCTACATGATACGCTGCATTTTACTTCCATTCGCCATGATGGCCGAGGAAGTATACTCATCATGCAGTGAAGCAGCATCTAACCACTCTGCTGCTACCATATTTGTACTTACTGCTTAGAACAGTGAACTGTCCATTTCTCGATCTACGTATTCTGACGACATACCGGCGTTCACTAACTCAACGAAACTAAAAATAGAACTCAAGTTTAGTAAACTACCTAAATGAAGTTGTCAAATTTTGCATTGAATTTTTCAACACCATATTTCCGCCGTGCTAGGCCACTCCTATGAGTCAAACCCTTCACAAGTGTCATAGCACGAGTGGACGACATGAATCACTCTACTTGGTAGTTCGCTGTAGTTCTCGATGAAAGCTCCTACCTAAGTAGTCATGTTTGATAAAACGATTAAACTCTTCAGAAGTATGTATCACACAAAATCTGGCCCATAGAATAAATAAGGATGTAAAGAGACTTGTTTTGAGTGACGGCACGGACCACAGTACAGTAACTTCAAAATGAAGATTTTTGAGCAGATTTCATCCAAGCAAACGTCTTTGTCTGGAAGTTTCAGTACAGTTCTCTTTTACGTCAAATACATGATGGGAACAAGCCACCCCAACAGGTGGCCTATCGTTTGTCATTGACTCCAGATAGGGGAAAACCCTACCATATTTAGTTCCGCTTCCTAGCAGAGGAGAAATCATAGTATTTAAGACAATCTCACAATGTATTCCTAGTAGGAACTGGTTCGTTCTGTTCATATAGATGCTTCTTCTTTTTCCAGTCAATCTCGAAACGATCCGAGGGTGGTTTCGGTGACAGTTGCTGATTACATAGAATATTGATTGGTCTCGGGATAGTGGTTACTACAAAGTGATAGTGCGCTTTTCAGTTAATCGTCCATTCGTTGAGAAAGATCTAATCTATTTGGGGCCGGAGTGAAAGCTTTCTAGGACGTCGCAGAACTCGATGGATACCCCCTACGAATAACTTTGCAGTACTGCGCTCCAATGCGATTCGTCCCTCTATTCTTTCGCCTTTTTTGCACTTAATTTTCAAATTTCTTGCGCATTTTTTAGAAGATCGGCTTTTAGAGTGGTAAATTGGTTGTGGATGTGATTTTCCACTTTTTGGTGAGACTGTTCCGTGTGATCTTCTTGATGATGTTCTCTGTTTCCGTCCATAACAGGTGCAAATACTTTGATAGTTTTTAGAAATGAATCAGCTGCATGAAGCAGAGTCCATGTTCTCAAAATATGTGGATAAGTGCCTGGAAGAAGGACCGGCAGCGATGGGATTCTTATTCACAAAGGTTTTCTTTAGCTCTAGGTTTTGTCCATTGCATATAGCATTCGACTTTTCAAAAGAAAATCGTCTAAGGTCGATCGCGCAGTCCTGGATCCGGTTGGGAAGTTCTCGTGTTTTCTTGTTGACTGCTGCTTGGATTGTTGTCTTAATGAAAGCGAAAAGAACGTTACATTCGCTGAAAATGGCATTCTGCATTCTGCTGTGCTAAAAAGGATTCTAACAATAGCTCAGTAAGCTGCCCTAATGGCTTTAATACTATACCAAAAATTAAGTCTACTGGACGTTTCAGTGCAGTACGTTTACATTTGAACAACTTTTATCCACTAAAGTCGTTAATTATATCTTCCAAATCTCCATTTTTTAGAGATTTTTCCTACCCTTTGACGGCCGAGAGCCAACTCCGTGTGGTCGATTACATATTCCGATCGTGGAATTCTTCAGTCGAAGTTGTTTGCCATGAAGCTGTCGACATTTTCTTCATGCTTCTCTCTAACCACTGTTTGGTTTGCTCGAAGTGTAGGGTTAGGTAGGGCACATCTTATTAATTCTTGAAGTATTTCCACTTTCTGGTTTGTGATTTCTTAATGATCCGTTGCCTCTCAACGGTTTACCGCCTCATTATGGCTGAGAGGTGCTCCTGTGTGTCGGGCTGCGATGTACAGCGGGGACATTCGTCTTCCCGGCAGGGTTTCCCAAACTGAGGAGTGCGGCGTTTCGGTCAGGAAGCCTATGTATGAGTAAGTCAATACCCCAGGATCCACCATCGTCTTGGTATCAAACTATTCACATGGTGGTAAATCTCCCTCTGATCCACAAGGACTGCGACTGCCTGCGGTGGTGACGACATGGGGCAGACTGTGGCCGGGCTATTCTCAGGGCTCCAGAGAACCAAAATGGCTAAACTAGCAGATTTCTGGTGAATCGAAATTGTGTTGGGGCCCGCACAACCAGTGAAGACGGACCATCTAAGTATCCAAGTAAGTTGTAATGATCTCTTAGTTAAGTGAAGATGTTGTGAACCTTGTTTTCGCCACACTTGATCTCTCAGCCGATCTTTTTCGCTTTGTATTTCTATTGTTTATCGTTAATTTCCAAATTTCACATTCCAGCTTTTGGAGTTCTTCAAACGATGTGGGATTTCTATCCGATGAAGCTTTCATTGGGTTTTTAGTGTTCATTGTAGGAAAGGTTGCGAATGGTCGGACTCTTTGGCAAGGAAACTGTTTGAAAATAACTCTCCTTGTCGTTCAAGGTACAAATGCTTAGTGGGTATTGTTTGGATTATCGTTGTCTTCTATTGTTTTGCATTCATAAGCTTTTTTTTTTATCAATTTATAGTTAATCCTTTTCCAATCATATTCAACGTATGTTGAACTCATCAACGAAAGACTGGTTGAAGAACTATATCTATGTATTAGCGATCCAGGACTGTCAGTCGTGGTGAGTTTTATTTTTTGTATAAGCGGTCCATTCTCGCCGTGAAATTTCGCAATGGCTGTTTCATTTGTTTCCTCAAACTCTAATAAACATTAACTTTTTTTATCCACTGCCTATTAAAATTTTTTATGGCAGGGTATTATGTGAAATAAGTAGTGATGCTTAGATATTTGCAAACCTCCGGACCGCATGTGTCTGCGGCGGGGGTCGAACACGTTCTTTTCCTTTCCAGGGGCTAACGCGTTCACCACCACACTCACTAGCCGGTCCTTCATTTCGCCTGTTTCTCAGCTGGTTTCCTACCTACCAGTGCTATCAGCAATCACCCGTCAACGGCATTGTTCTGGGAGCGCAAATGGGCATTAAACCTAGTTCAGTTTCAATAGAAAACTAGCTGGGAGAAAGCCGAAATGAAGCACCCGCATGGCGTGGTGGTGAACCCGTTAGCTCCCGGAAAGAGTAGCAGCGTGTTCGTTCTCGGCCGCGGGCACCTGCAATTTTGAGTTTTTCAAATATCTCAGCATCATTATGGTTACGCGTTTAGTAATGTTTTACTGCTTTGCAGGTTAGCGAAATTCTCTCACTGGACATGGTGGAGTTTTCAGATCGTTGGGACCTCCACAACAATAACATACTGTCGTGCTTATCCTCTCAGTCAGTCGGTGCTAGTACGGCGGTAAAGGTAAGACTTTCCTGTGCATCTTACTTTATAGACCTTGTACTGGTGCATTTTCAGGATCGTTTGCTGCCGAACCTCGCTAAGAGCAAGTTTCTCAAGGACAACTTTTTACCACAATTGCTGGATTATATAAATCGTATGTTGCGTTGTAGTCGCGTATCAATTCGTTGGTATTGCCAAAAATCTCCGTAGTTCGCATATACCTGGATTTCTCCTTTCGCTCCCGAAAATAGGAGCTTTTTGGCAACTGTTGAGAGGTCCAATAGGGACTCTCCGTTCCAGAAAATGGCTTTGTTAGTTGCTCAAAAGTTACTAAGTATGTGACTGTTGCTTCATATTGAAGGTCCATATTACCCTCATCACCTGTAATTATCGACTCGTCGACTGATTTGAACGGGTACTACTAAATCCACTTGTCATCCTTGAGTGACCCAGTGAACGTCGTAGTTTTGGCATGTATACATTTATTTGTAGCATTCTTGACAACTGGTTAAGTTAGCGAGCTGCTTACCTTTAATGACCCTTGAGGATTCTACTGGTGTCCATAGGAGTCCGATAACTGAACTTCCTTTGTCAATATGGAACTATTAAAGTCGATTACAGAGATTATGAAATAGAATGAACTCGATAACAATAGTTACTTCATTCCTGAGAGTGCTAGAGAGGTTTTTGTGAACTAACTGCTACACTTATCACTATTAATTTTACATTTCAGGAAACAGTACGGTAGTGCATTGCATCGAAGCAATATTGTCCGTTTCCCATTTTCTGGTACTTTCGCACAAAAAGTGCGATTTGTATAGGTTTTGGAGTGATTACGTGCCTTTGGAGACAATGCAGTATGCTGTTCTACACTTGAATGTTCAGGTACGATAGCAGAAACAATATCAGCGCGTGTTCGCTTTGAAATAAGGCTAAAAAGGATAAAGCTGTCGGCGTTGATCAATCTGTGAGGGATTCACCATGAATTTGACTTCATTGAACATCGTCGGAGATGATTGAGTGCATATCTGGCCTTTATAATGACTCGCGATGGCCTGGGGATGTATCGAGCCAGTGCTGCTATCCTCCGAGACAATTTGCCGATCCCAGAGGTATGGAAGGCTTGGTAAGCCTTGGGAGCGGGGATCGATCCCATGTGAATTACAGGGCGCTTCCGACCATTGCGCTACACGCGCCCTTTCGCTTTGAAGTAGCTTTGTAAATCCTTGTTCTCTTTGTGATCACATTCGTGGTTTATACAATACGTGATAAAATTCAATATTAACCATGCTTTATTAAGCCAAAGATAAGTGTACACCTTCAATGTCTTAATTCCGCAAGGATCAAAAAGATTAGATCTAATTTTTTGTACGTCGTTTGTATTTAAAATTTAGGTTCGCCTTTCTGCTTGGATATTGCTTTCTGAACATCCTCAACGAACCCATGGTTTTTCATGGACTGACATTTCACTTATTCGAGTATTTATAACCACTAACATGACCGAACAATCACCGGCAATACGACTGAAAATCCTTGCAGGCCTGAGAAAAGTAACCGATTTTCTTTTCTTCATAAATCTATTGGGACTTCATTTGACATATTGGGGGTGTTTCAGATCCTTGCGCGCATTGCAGAATCAAGCGAACACATTCTTAAGGGAAACGAAGATGCTTTGAAGCAAATAACGTTGTATAATGACTTCATAAAGTAAGAATAATGAAAGTTAATTAAATGAATATTTTTAATTAATAATATGGCTGATTATGGCGGTATTTACAACAGTACTAATGTCTTTATTCAGTAGGGAAAATTATAACAGTTCGGGCCAACACTGCCTTCATTTACACTACCACCTCCAACTGTCCAAAGTAGCTACGATTTGTTCGCATTTGTTTAGCCATTTTCAGACAAAATGCAAAATTTGTTATCACATCACGATCATGTGAGAAAAGACATGAAGTCGTTATTTGAGGTAGTAAAGCTGAGGAAAACGATAGAGGTTTGGGCGTTGATCAATCCCTGATAGGTGCGCCATGCATTCGACTTTTTTAATCATCGCTGGAGGTGAATGAATGCATATATGGCTTTTACAACGCCTTGGGGTGGCCTACCGATGTATCGAGCCAGTGCCACTATCCTCCCAGATAAGTTTGATACTAATTTTCCGGCCACGAAAGGATGGTGTGGCTGGGCCAGGAGCGCGGGAATCGATCTCATGTGTGTTGTAGAGTTCCTCCGACCACTGCACCCACGCGCGCCCTTATGAGGTGGTTGTCAGCATCAAAGGGCAAAAATGTTTCAAAATAGTGCGGTTCAGTGTTTTTTTTTAAATCCAGAGCTATTCACATTCACAACATTCATACTATATCTTCGTTCTCTGAATTCATTCGAATTGGTGACGCTGTATATTTATTCCAGCTTTCTTCTTTCCCTGGCATTCGATTCTATATCTCCTGGTGCTAATTTTAGTCGACGCATGATGGCACTTTCAGTAATACAGTGTTTGTTGGTTGAGGATTGGTTGAAACCACATGGGAAGAGTTAGTTCTTTATTTCTTGATTGCTAGTTTCTTTCTGTCGTAATGTTTTATCTTGGATACCTAACGTTTTCGTTCATCGTTTCTCACTTCTTTTCTTGGGAAGAGAAGAAGGCCAGTGCAAGTTTCTGCATAATGGTTTGAGTTCTCAACATGATCCGACCTCTTCAATTCGCATCACCGCCTTTAGTTTTAGTTATTTATCCGAACAGTACTTGAATCACAATGTTTTGACTTTTATTTACTACACTTTCTTCTTTTCACGGCAGGATATGATGTAAACTACAACCACAAGAGTGCTAAGATATGGTTAAAACTGGGGATTCCATGTAGGCTTCGAGCATACGATTGCTCTTACCAGGAGCTCAGGGACCTCCGTGGGTGTGGTGGATAGCACGTGGGCATTGTGATTTCGAATGTGGCTTCAGCTCAACTGAGTTCACTGCCGATTTTTGTTCTCATATGTTTCTCTCTTAACGAGAGGTTGGCAATAACATTGATAGAGCAAAAACAAACCTGAGAAAGGCAAAGGAGGGGCCACAGTTGGTGTGGTGGTGTGGTGGACAACAGGTGAACCCCTGGCAAGAGTATACTTGACCGTGGTCCATATCGGATCCAGGATTTGGCTCATATCGGAATACTTGAATCTCTTGGAGAATTTATTTGTTTAATTATGATAATTCAAATGATGATACGAATTTGCTCTAAATATACGAAAATGCCGTGTGCTTTGAGGATTTTTAATTAGGAAAAAAGACCGCATTACTTTCCTTTTAGGTTTTGATCAAAATGTATAACTCGCAAATTCCTGAAGGATCTCACATCCTTTCATATATTACACCAGCTCACGCTCTTCATATTTGCTTCTGTTGATATATAACTTATTATGAACTGGTAGAGCTGGACCGTTCGGAAACCGATTTTCCCAAAGTTAGTGGGGGAAATCTAGCCAGATAAAGGGTAAAGGTTTAAGTTTTCGGCGTTGTTTAATCCCTAAACGATGCGCCATGCATTCGACTTCGTTAAGCATTGTATGGGGGTGATTGATTGCATATCTGCCCTTACGATGAATCGCGGTGGCTCACCGATGTATCGAGCTAGTACTGGCATTCTCCTAGACAAGTCTGGTACCAATTTGCCGACCCCGGAGAGATGGAAGGCCATGGTCGCTGGGACCAATCCCATGTGTGTTGCAGGGCGCCTCCGATCACTGCGCCACACGCGCCTCGCAATCTCGCCAGAAGTGTTCCTAAACTCCGGAGGAAGTAATCTCAAATTTGGGGAGCTTAACTAGAAGTGGGAAAATGACAAATGAAATGGTGACTAATTGGCTGCTACTAAAATTTAACAAATGATAACTACTCCAGAAAAACGTGAAAAACCCATTAAAACTAGATGTAGTTAGTGAGTAAAACAAGAACCGTACTGCACATGGCTCGGATTAGCCCAAAGACACACGATTTGTAAAATGTTTTGTATGTTGGTAGTGAAGTGTTTCTATGTTGTTTAGCTTTGTTCTACAAGCAACTAAATTTATCGATGAAGCTAACGTCAAGACGCTACCAAGCATTGGTTTCCTGTATTGATGATCCGTTCGAATTGTGCCAGATTACTGCACTTAATATCCTTAAAAAACTTCCAGTTGATGGAAGCTTCGTGAGTTTTTGTCATGTGAAGGTTTTCTCAATTTCTGCCCATGCTTCCAGTTTTTCTTTGAACATCTTTTTAGAAATAGTTGTTGCAGAACTATAGTATTTATAAGAATGAGACCATAAAAATGATGAATTCGATTCGTTCGCACAATACTCTTGCAGCTGGCTATAGGATGCAGGTGAGCTTTTCTGGATTGTCTAAATATTCAAGTTTTATTTGTCGGCTAACAATTCTGGTATGTGATTAGCGAAAACATTCGTAAAATCTTGTAATAGTTCCCAGGATCGACTTTCTATTAACCTCGGCATTGGAATGTGAATGTGTCGTTTTCTTGTTCAACAATCGCGAGACTTTTGAACAGCATACATTTACTTCCATAGAAGAACACAATACAATACAACACTAGCTGAGGTTTCGGCAGTATCGCCTTCTTCAGAGCCGCTTTTTCGTGACTTCCAATGAGGAAGTTTAGAACAACTGATTATAGTCGCATATGGTTGACGACTGCCTCAGTTGTTGTAAACTTCCTCATTGGAGGTCACGAAAACGCGGTTCTGAAGAAGGCGATACTGCCGAAACGTCAGCTAGTGTTGTATTGTATTGTGTTCTTCTATGGAAGTAAATGTATGCTGTTTAAAAACCTCGCGATTGCTGAACAAGAAACGACACATTCGTAAAATCATAATTGATAATTGGGTTCAATCCCAATTTAAGGGAATTCATGATGCAATGCCCTTGATGAGTATGAGGTCCATTTTCAAGAGTCAACGTCCTGTACACACGCGATATGTGGCTTCTGTTATTGAAAAAGGGTATATTTCATTTACTTCTCCATTACACCATAAATTTCTTCAATCAACTGAGCTTTCCGATTTTTTTCCACTCCCGTCTAATCCCACAATTTGTTGAGTTTTCGAGCATCGTCTCTACTTCACCGGTATTGCTGCAGTATCCACGAAGATATCTTCGACCACCATTGTTGAGTAAGGTGTTTTTGTAAAGAGGACCTCCGCCAATAAGGGAATCTCGATTTCAAGCGAAATGATTCTCGATGGTTTTCCTACGTTTTTTCACAGATGATGGTAATACGGCCTTCATCCAAAGTGCTTGAAGAGAAACGTGGCGTTTTAGGAGGATCTCCATTGTTAATTCTTCCGATCGATTTTTTTAAACGTTTGCACCGTAGGAGGAACGATGTAGTTGGAAAGAAACGTGGTATTAGCTCAAGAAACGGATTTAGCGATCAGTAATCGTAGACAGCATTCAGAATACGACAAAATTCACTAAACTTAAGCAAATGCATTAGTAGATTTGGCGAAATCCAAGAGCCAGTTATCATGACCTATTTTCTTCCATTAGGTATACTACGTAATATCTGAAGTGTTCATTCGTTGCTTGTTAGTGAATTATGTACAACTTTATTTGTCCAGTTTAGTGTACGACGTGTTCATCAAGGTCACGTCTCCTCTTATTTAAGAGAGTTTTATAAAAAGCAATCCGAGAGCCAATTGACTGTAAGGTACTAAGTTGGGGTAGCGTTGTCGCAAGAGCCACGGTGGTAGTACGGTTGTCTTTGCCTTAGAGCTTTATCGTCTTCGAAGACGTTGGAGAATGTGTAATATGTATAGACCATCCACTGAACGCGGTAGAATTCTTGTTTGGGTCATGATTAATAGTCTTGGAACCTTCCAAACAATATATCACATTTTCACCGGAGAGAGCATCGGTGTCCAAAACGGATCACCGATTTTCCGATGATATGGTGAGTATAAAAGCTGGATGGATGGATGAGAGAAACTTTATTGGACCATAAAAAGATCAGAAATGCTGATAGAGATACTTTCTAGTGAATCCTCATTATCCCTATGTTAATAATGTGGCAAAACTGTATGACCGTTCCGAGAAAAATATGCGAATAGACGAAGCGAAACTACCTCTAGTGTGCGTAATAACAGACCGTTTAGAAGAAATTATATCGTCATCTGTGTTGATTGTAGTGAGGTTTTGCAACGTTTTTCTAAGAAACGCGTTTTAGTTTTATACGTGTTGTCATCCGGAATCCTTCAAAGACTTACTCGTTGATTTTGTTTCGATATGCGAGGAGAATACACATGGAGCAAAGAAAAGCTTGGTTTGTTCCTGAACTAATTTTCTAGAGAAACTCTTGTGAAGTGTGTTTGTTTGAACGTAGTTTGTATTAGTATTTTATTTCCGGTTGATATCACCAAAAGTACGATACACCCATGGATAAATGCAATTTTGTTGCTCTTGGAAAGTACGGATTTTATGAACATGAGGTGATTTTTTTATTTTTTAAAGAAATCCTAATCAGAAGAAGCTTTCCTTCAAAATTAACCTTACTGTAGTTAGTAATTGCGGAAGTAGAATCCGTGAACTCTGTTTAACTGCGTTTTAAGTCTCAAACATGACTAGTGTCAAGACGGCGAGATACTACCCATTATGCACGGTTTATAATCTTAACTACTAAACTACTTAAGGAGATTATAACGGAGGTAATGGAGAAAGAAGGAAATAAAGAACATTCAGCTTCTTACACACCTTTTCGACTCGACGATCTTTTAATACACTTGCGAGTGTCATACATTTTGGTACCCAGTTTTTCTTGCTACCTTTTTGTATTCAATCTATAGTTCAGCCAGAACATATTTTATGCGCCGTGTTATCCAAGGAAAAGCTGTAACTTGCTTGTCAGGAAGGTACTAACTCTTTGGAGAATGCCCCGCAAATGTGGTCTTTTTAAAAAATATCTCTGTACGGTGAAAATACAGTTACACATCCTCGCTGCTATTTCTCGCATTGTGTATCATCTGGATAACACATAGGCTATTGCTAATGACAGGGGCACTTGACCTTTAGTGGTGGATCCAGAACGGGCCGTATGCATTAGATTCGATGCATATCGTGAGAAAACTTCGCGCAATACTGCGAGGTGGCCAATTATTATTAGGTATGTGGTCAAAGTTGTTAAGTAAACGTATTATCTTACAACGAACGTTAGTAACCAAAATGAAGTCATTGGAATCTAAAGATTTTGTCAGCGAGGTAAAATTCTTTTGAAATAAACAGCTTTTAAAAACACTTTAACTACCTTAAGTTTTTTGTTGGAATCTTTTATTCTTCAAAGTAGACTGTTATTCTGGCGGATATTGCCGTTTTGCGATTTTGTTGTAACAGTTTGTTGACTAAATATTGCTCACCTACTGAGGTGTTACTGGAGGTGACTCAGTATTGTAACTTGCAATAGTAATATCTGTCGTCCCGTTTGTCGTCAAGTGATTCCAAAAGGCCCCAATAAACTTTCCATTTTTCTTTGCGCGTGTAAAAGTATCCCGGTGGGTTCTGCTTGCTCTAGGGGATCGCTGAGAATTATAACTTTCTTAAAGAGTCCTAGTGAAAAACTTTGACCGTGGCCGTTCTTTCTGCAGTACGTTTGACATCTCGAGGAATCCAATCGCTAACGGATTTTGACCATCAGTTACCGTTAATAAGCATTGTCCACTTTATCGTCCACATTTTGCATTTCGAAGGGCGTTTTTAATTTTTGAACGTTGACGTCAGCCGGAGCTTCGGATCCCGACCCTCACTTGTTTGATGAGGGATACTTCTGCCATCATTCTTTTGATTGCGCGTTGTATAGCACTGAATGATCTTATATTCTGCTTACGCATCGACCAGGTTTCTAGCGCATACGTTATGGCGGGAAGAATCGTGGAGTCGAAAAGGTGAGCACGGAGACGGATGTTCTTTGTTCTCTTCACTACACCGTTGATGCTCTTGAAAACTCCCAAAGCCGATCGCTTCCTAATGCTCAACTCTGGAGCTAAGTCGTCCATTACTTTGATTTTACGGCCTAGATGGATGTAACTGGTGTGTTCGGAGACATTCATTCCGCTGCGCGTAAATGGGGTTATATGGTACCAATCCATACCTTATGAATATCGTTTTTCTAAGATTTAATCGAAGACAAATTTTTCACAATCGTGATCATGTAGTGTTGTGCTAACAAATTATCATTGTCAATCGAAGGTGTGCTTTATTTCTGGACTAATTCAACCACTTTTAATGTCGTTTAGTTCTATCGATTTGGATTGGTGGATGCTGTTCATACAGGAGCGCTTAGTTCCTCTGTGTTTCGATATTGCTGAAGTGGTAAGTTTGACTTCTTTTTGCTCTAGATTATGATCATTTCATACAACGAGATGCATCCTATGATGGGTAAGAGGAATGAAATTGCGTCTAGAACAACACAGTGATTGTTTAGGTATCTCCTGCTGTTCATTCCATGTCACCTGAAGGTTATATTCCAGATGACATCTTAAAACAAATAGGTGAGCTCAACTGAAATGCCTACAAAGTAATCACATTCACGTTTTCGAAACCAAATGGAGCAAATGAATACATAACCGAGATTCTTTCCATTTGAGTTCTACTTCTCTAAAGTCACGAAGTGTTTTACTTGTACATATTCATCACTTTTAGCTCATTCAGCTTTCCTTCAATATGTAAATATGTAATGTATATATGTATATATAATATGATGGAATATATAAACGTCAATGTGTGCAGCATATGCATTGTAGATGTATACAACATAATTTGAATCTACATGCATATGCATCATATATACACATATATATATATATATACATATGTATATGTATGTGTCACCAATAACAGGATCCACCACCGTCCTGGTATCAAATTAGTCGCATGGTGGCAAATCTTCCCCTAATCCACAAGGACGGCGACTGCCTGTGGTGGTGACGACCTGGTGCAAAATTTGGTCATGCTGACCACTGCACTCCAGAGAAGCACAATGGCTAAACCAGCAAAACTCCCGAAAAGTGGAGAATATACTGGAGCCCGCACAACCAGTGAGGACGGGCGGTCCAAGTACCTAAGTAAGTATATGTGTACACAATGTAGACATGTGCACACTTGCACATACATGTGTGCGTATATATATATGTATACATCTACATATTTACATATATACATACACATATTTGCATACATATATCTATGTACATATTTGTGTATATCGTCCTAGCGGTTTACCGCCTCATCGTGGCTGGGAGGTGTTCCTGGGTGTCGGGCTACGATGTACTGCGGGGGCATTCATCTCCGTGGCAGGGTCTCCCAAGCTGAGAAAGGGTCCGGCGTTCCCATCAGAAAGCCTAGCTAAGAGTAAACCAATACCAGGATCCACCACCGTCCTGGTATCAAAGTCGCATGGTGGCAAATCACCCTCTGACCCACAAAGACTACGACTGTTTGTGGTGATGACGACCTGGGTCAGACTTTGGCCAGGCTGACCTCGGAATTCCAGGGCACCATAGTGCCTTAGTCAACAAATTTCCGAGCAATGGAGATTGTGCTGGTGCCTATACAACTAATGAGGACGGACCATTCAAGTTTGAAGTATCAAGTATCAAATGTATATATATATATATATATATATATAATGTTACTATTCTTTTAGTGTACTTGGTGCTATAGGAACGCATAGGTTTGAAAATCACATTCTTCATATTAAATGTTACGTTGTAGCTAGTTCACACGGGAACACTCTTCAGATGGAGGCTGAAGTTTCACAGCTGCTTCTCGTTTGTTGCTGGCGAGCTCACAAACATGTTTCAACAATTTTGGGATTGCTTGTAACGAAAGTAGGTTCTCCAAACCATTAATCTATTTAGATTGAGAAGATCCTTCTTAGTGCCATTTTTATCTTGTAGCTCTTTACCGTTGGTAAAAGCTGCAATCATTTAAAGGAGATTAGATGCTTGTCTTCTTTTGTATAATAGAATATGAAGATGTTTTCCGAATTTTTTTTGAAGTCGTCTATTATATGTGATGCATCCAGTCCTTTCTCACTTTTTGTATGCAGTAATGAATAGTCAAAAATGATCGCACTGGAAAAATCGTGTGAAATTATATCTGCTTGAGAATGTCTAGGAAGCTCCTATCAGTGAAAAGATACGGTGGTGTTTCATTGTGTACTAATGAGATCGTTTTGGTAAGACAGAAGCACTTTTATTCGTGAACCTTTAAAGGTTGTAAAGCTCTTTTTTGAGTTTACTGTTCTAAGTTTAGAACTCTTTGACTTCAGCTCTGTCCAATGGGAGCGCTAACGTCCAAAGACGTTGATGGCATTGGTGCCTACTACTGGTTGCAGCTAACCGAATGCAAGCATTGTGGGGCTTTCGAAAGTGCAGTGGAGGGGTACGGCATTTTCTCATTATGAAGGGTTGATGAAATCAGAACGAATAGGTTATTTCCACCAAGGGAAAATAATCTTTTAAGAACTTCGAATCTAGCCACTTAAAAATATGCGGTTTGGATTTACTTATTTAGTTTTTCCTCATTGTGTTCATATCTGTGGAGGAGCGATGATTCAGGAGTACCTAGGCCGGTCCAGTGGTTGTGGCAGATTATAGATGCTCTACAGGGAAGTAAAGGTATGTGTGAAAAATTATCTACATTCCTCGTACTTTAATTCAAAGAATAGTTCGAAGAACTTTTTACAAGCGTTCCAGCTGTAAGGTTCTCAGTAGTTTACTTTTCAAAAAACTCCGGCAGCTGTGGAAAAATTGGTTTTGTGATTAATGAATTCTGTTTTTAGTTAACCTGTGTTCACCCTGTATCGCCTGCTCACTGTAAAGATTTGTCTTGATCCAACAGTTTTTTTAAAAAAAAAGTTTAACTGTCTGAGTTTAAAATTCTTATGTGATACATTCAGTAGTCAGGTAGTTAATTATAGTCGTATAGATTTGGAACATATATGTTTAACGCGACGTAGTGCTGGTGTTCCCCATCTCGTCACAACCATTTTGGCAACAGAACCATGCAATCATCATAGCCACTCGCTAGACACAGCGTTGAGATCACTTCTAGCAATGGATCAAAAAGCTGTGAGCAGTCGGTGAGTTTGAATACCTAACTAGGAAACGCTTAAAAAGATAAAGCATTCGGTGTTGTTCTATCCCACAGAGGTGCACCCATGTATTAGCTTCCGCTATGAGTCGTAGAGCTGACTGCATGCATATTTAGCCTGTACAATGACATGGTCAGTGTTTTTATCCTCCGAAACAACTCTGGTACCAGTTTGCAGGCCAAATATTCGTGCAGTCATCTCTAGTCTACTTAAGCAAGTCGAATGCATATGAAGAATGCTTTATCTTTTTAAGCGTTTCCTTTAATCCTTTAATTGCCTAGGTATCGGATTTAACTCGAAGTGACAGACTTTTCAGCATACACGCTCTCAATGTTTTGAAGGCTTTATTTTCGTCAGCAGCTCTTGCAGAGCGTGTTGTGCCTTCACTCGAAGTTAGTTGTGTTCACCATATTCTCCATTATTCATCCACTTTGTATAACCTTTAACGGTTGTTCTCTGGAGCTTTGTCTTCATAAATTTTCAAGTCACGTAATGTATAAGGTTGGAAGATCTGAATACTTGGGATTTTAGAAAAGTATTTTTATTTAAGTGGTCCAAAATGCTACTTGCTGTTCAATTTTCCGTCAATATGTTGTCTGAAATCTGCTATCTTTGTCTTTTCTCTCACTGGATTCTTTCATGGGTTTATTTTTTGAATTTTGTCAATTAGCAGTTTTTTGTTTGGTGGGAATTATCCAAAAATTAGTAAATTGTGTTACGTTGGTTGGTTTGAAAACACGGTGGTTTCCTGCTTAGTCGTGACTGCGTGTTCACCTTGGCGTTGAATCGCAATCTACAGCAAGGGGGTACGTCCTCATCAAAGGTTCCTGAACTGAAAAGTTTTTCAACGCTTCCACGAGAAACCCAACTAGGTAGGAGTGAAGGAATCGCAGTAATCGTTCACACTTCGGGAACAGCAAAGTCATTAGTCGAGAGGTGAAAACCTGGAAAACTTTTACACGGTTTCGACGGTCCAAGAAGTGGAAGCCTTGTTCAATTTGGAATTCATCAATGCGACGGAAATTTTCAGCTTTCTTTGTGATTTGTGAAGAAGGTGTTCCTCCAGTACCAATTATTTCATCGCATTTGTATTTATAGTTGTTTTTTCTTACAAGATACTATGAATGAATGGAGCTTTGAACGAAGAAAGAAAACTGCTACAATTTCTATATGCGATAGGTTTAGATATCTTCGTTTTCCTACAAGGATATTTGTCAATTTGTAAGTACCTATCAGAGGTCAGAGGTCATTGCATGAATGAGTTGCAGTTTTCACAAGTCTCGCGTATAGGTTTAGAGGTCATTTGCCAGTTGTGAGTGATATATTGATCCTATTATGAAACTAATACCAAAGTTTTACGAACAGCCAGCCATTGGCGAAATATTCGAGCGAATGCGGGAAATCTGAAGTTTTATAGACATCAAAAATCCTCTGCTCCTGTGCACAGCTGTCTGTTGATTTATTCATTAATTCACTTATTTATTTTCGGTCTAGATCTTCATTTTCTATGATGGGTAAACCTTATTTGTGTGGTTGATGTCTATATGTCAAACAACAACTGTTGTCGAGCACTGGTTTTCGAAAGCATCAACATCTTGAAAGTATTTTCTTCGTATTTTTGTTGAGCAAACGCGAGGCGTTACTATTCTTTGTTCACGATTAAGCTGACGTTTCGGCGGATTTCGCCTTCTTCAGAGCCGCTTTCTATGAGGTTTCCACTAAGTATGTCACGTAGAGACCAACCGCACAGAAATCACGTGGAAGTATAATGTGGTGGCAGTTCTTGAAAGTATTTTAGAAAAATCTAAATGGTTACCGAATTAATGGAGCACCTTCTTTTATTCGCTATTCGCATAAAATGCATGTTGTCGTCAAAAAGAAAAGCCTAATTCCAAGAAATTCAACGTCGATATCGAAATACTTGGAATGTTTGGGTGGACCGTGCTCACTGGTTGCGTGGGCCCCAGCATATTCTTCAGTTTTCGGAGTTTTCTGGTTTAGCCATTGTGTTTCCCTGGAGTCTTGTTTTGAGTCTTGAGGTCACCCTGGGCAAAGTCTGTTCCAGGTTCACCATCACAGGCGGTCGCGGCCATTGTGGATCAGAGGGAGGTTTGCCACCATGCGAACAGTTTGATACTAGGACAGTGGTGGATCCTGGCATTAATTTGCTCATAGCTGGGCTTCCTGATAGAAATGTAGGAGTCCCTTTAAGCTTGTCAGACCGTGCCGGGGGTGAATCCCCCTGCTGTACATCGCAACCCGATAACCAGGAACACCTCCCACACACGATGAGGCGGTAAACCGTCGGGAGGGTCGATATCCAAAATGACCACTAGTTCTTTAACTTTCCAGAGCAACGTGATATGTCTTTGTTTTTGTGCTGGGAGAATTCTTCGAATTTTTCTTTAAAAATATCATCTGGATGGTCGATGCACCGTTGTTTATCAGCTGATTGGATTCTAGTTTTAGTTAGCAGCCACCAAAATTTATTGTGAAAATCGCATAAGAATAAGACAAAAACTTTAAGGCACAGGATGTGCACAGTAATTATGCCGCAATAATTTTTTTTTAAGTGGGCTTGTCGTATTGCGATTAACGGTTGCTCAGCACCGACATGGCCGGAGCGGAACGCGGCTGCTCAATTGGCGGCAGCCCTTCGTTCTCGAATCTTCGGGGTCGTTCACAAAACTCAGAGAGATCTTATTGTGGATCAAAAAAATCGTAAGAGTGCCTACGAATTCTTTTCCAGGTGAGCTATAAGGCTAGTGATTTCGATTGTTATTTGTTAGTAAGTTTGTAAGCGCCACATCAGTAGGTCGGAATACATTGTGAGCATTTGAATGTGTCAAGTATGAACCACTTGAGATTGCTCTGCAACAAGAAAATTCGATAATTTACTAAATGCCGCTTGGTGAACAGTATCTATTATCCAGCAGATAACAGGATAGTTCGCATATTCACTTCGCGTTCATGTTGCAGATTTGCAAGCGCGCGTGCGGCACAATGGTCGGAGGCGCCCTGCGATACATATGGTATCGATCGTCGCGTCCATGGGTTCAGCAAGCATTCCATCCCTCAGGGTTCGGCAATTTCGTACCAGACTTGTCTGGGAGGATAGCAGCACTGGCTAGATACATCAGTTGGCCACCGCGAGTCATTGTAAAGGCCAGATATGCATTCATTCACCTCCAAACTATGTTTAATGAAGGCGAGTTCATGGCGCAAGGGATTAGCCAAAGCCGAGAGCTTTATCCTTTATCCTTTATTCCAAATTTTACAGCCATGCATTTAGTTTTTCGTACATATTTTGTGTGAAGTTCCCAACAAGACGTCTCTCTGTCTCGCTTTTCCACTCTCTTTCTCTCCTCTTTCATGGAGAGGAAATGTCTCCACGGCACGTTTCGGATGTTCTGCCCTGTGCTTTGACGCGGTTTCTGAAGATATTATCACTGCTGACCCGTTGTTTCACCACAACAGATAACATATACGAAGAGCGCACAGTTTTTTATACACTCTAAGTTGGCAGTCAGGAAGAATACTGGTTGCAGTGGAGCGATAGGTTTAGCATAAGCCTTGTGCTTGGCTAACTCAGCAGGTCCGTCAATGTAGTTTAGTCTCTGCAGTAGCCTGTATATGAGACCAATAAACAAGTTTGCTTTATCATTCTCGGATAGGTTTCTGTTGAGCTATTCTGGCAGAGCGTGGTGTTTGCTTGACTGGCTGGGGATTTTGAAAATAAACCATATTTTAACCGTCTTATTTACTGCCTACTCTTTTTAATGGTAGGGTATATTGCGAAATATAACTTTAATGATGCTAAGATATTTGCAAAACCCCGGACCGCACGTATCTGCAGTGGGGAACGAACGCGCTATTGTCCTTTCCGGACCCGCATGGTGTGGTGAACGCGTTACTCCCCGGAAAGGACAATAGCACCGAAGACACCTGCGGTCTGGAGTTTTGCAAATATCTCAGCGTCATTGAAGTTACATTTCGCAATATACCTTTCCATTAAAAAGAGTAGGCAGTAAACAAAACAGTTGTGATCATAACTAAAGCCTCAGCTTAACTGGGTTCATTGCCGATTTGGGTTCCCCAGATCAATTCCGCTGACGGGTGATTGCTGATGGCAGAGATCGATAGAACTGGCTGAGAGACAGGCGAAACGAAGGACCTGCATGGTGTGGTGGTGAACGCGTTACTACCGGGAAAGGTCAATAGCGCGTTCGTTCCCCACCGCAGACACCTACTGTCCGGAGCTTTGCAAATATCTCAGCATCATTGAAAATAAACCGTGTATTGATTGTTTCATCTTTATCTATTTCAGTAGTAGTGTTTCAGGTTTCCTTCGCTTCATGGTTATCTGTACAAACAACTTTGCACTTGCAAGGATGAATTTAGTATCTATCCAGTACTGATATTTCTCACTCATCTTTTCCCATCTAACGCTGATGTCACTGCTGTCGTAGAGAAGGGCCGTAATCCGAAATCAGTGCAAAATTACCCACTTGCACCTTTCATACCAGCATTGCTACGGGTACTGTTATGGTACGATTTATGTTCAGACGCATCTTTTATATCATATAGAAAGTTTGGGGAAGTGAAGTGTTTTTTTTACTTTGTAATCTCGAGTGTGATATGTTTCGAAAAACAGTAAAAGTAGTAGTTACATTTTTATTTACTGCCTGTTCTTTTTACGGCAGGATATGATGTGAAATTTACCGACTGTGATGCTGGGATATTTGCAAAACTCCGGACCGCAGGTGTCTGCTGTGAGGATCAAACATGCTCTTACCCTTTCCTGAGGCTAACGCGTTTACGACCCCACCGTGCTAGTTCTTCGTTTCGCCTTTTTCTCAGCAATGTTTCCCGGTTCTCTTATACCCAGAGAACGGTAATAGCGTGTTCGACCTCCACCGCACACACCTGTGGTCCGGAGTTTTGCGAATATCTCGGCATAATTGTGAGTGAAAGGAGTAATGAAACCTGTAACATTAACCATGGAGAAGGAAAAGTTGCACTAATAGCTGGTAGTAAGGATCTCCGGTGTGATTGTGCTTACAGTGGTCTTAAAGTGATAAGTTCTTATGTTCTTATCAAGTTAGGCCACTTTACAGGTGTCGTGCCGAAAAATTGCGAACGCTCACCGCTGCTGCAGTAGTCGCTGTTTCAAGATTAAAAGTGAGCATGGGTACACAAGGGCTTTGCAATTCCAGCAGAAGTCCATCTATTGAGTTGTACTAAACGATCTCCAGCTAAATTACCAAAAGACCATCTTAATAGTAATTTTCCGTTTAGGATATCTCATTTGTTCTCGACTGGATTTCTACAAGCGATTTAAGGAATGTCCGTGAAAATCATGTGCATGCTGTTTTGTTATTGGTCAGGTTCCTATTTTGATGTTCACTTACTGCTGGTATGAATATATACATATATGCACATATATATATATGTACGTAATACACATATATACATTGATATATACATATATATATGTATATATATATGCTTCAAGAAATAACATTGGGAGAGTGACCTGGTAAAAGTGATTACTTTATAGATGTCTTCCATTTTGGAGACCAACATCTGTGCTCAAGTAAAGGAAAGAGTACGGCGAATTTTGGTAAATCTTAACCAGCTTGAACTGTGGTTAAAATGGTAGGTGTTCTATTAACACTTTCATATTAGAAGGCATTTTTTTTTATGTTAAAAAGAACGACTGCTTTACATAGTAAGGGAGAAGTGAAACTAAAGCGGTATTAGTATGTATGTATGCTAATATATGTATACTGACATTTAGTAGCTTGATATTTCATAATAGTTTTATCATATCTAATCATAAATGGGATTTATGCCGATTGAGATGGTTTCAGAACTACATTCTGGTAAAAGCCCCCCATAGTAGTACAGTTTCTCACCTTTCCGTGGTAAAAAGAGTCTTACACGAAGAAGGCAGTTGTAAGTCTTGATGGTCTGGCCGGTTACGGTTAACTGATCTCAGATAGGCTCGGTTTCTGTCCTGTCCATTCCGATCCATGGGGTGATGCTTTAAAGTTTGTTAGACTTTCTCTCGTAGTTTAACTCGCTGATGACGACCTTGTAGGAAACCTGACCATTCATATAGAACTTCTGGTACTCCGTTAAGACCCATGGCTTTATATCCTTCTGTCTTAGCTCATTTTTATGGCATATATGGCGAATTTTATCAAATTAGACCCTATCGTACATCGTTTTAACCATGTTCTTCCATTCATATCATTAGTTGTTCAAAAAAATGTCTCTATCCATGCTCATGTTAACGGTTATGCCAACTTCTTAACCTCCTGTATAAGTTTGGTTCCGAGTTCTTCCTCAGGATCATAAACGATGAATATTGAGAGGTATATTGTCATCTCGGTCAGTCTAATAGAGTTATGCTTGATTTTTATGCGCTACATTTTCTAATATGAAAACATGGGGTTAAATTGCATAGTAATTACGTATCATAATCGTAGTTCTTCCCTATCTTAGCAGCTTTTCTGTTTTTGTATCCAACGTTGCCGTAATTGTGGCTGTTTCGGAATAAAACGAACGAATCGTTTTTTTTTTGCAGTTTTAATGGAAGGACACACATAGAGTTCTTTGTGGCCTCCTAGAAGATATGGATCTTATTTGCCGTTGATCCTAAACGGCGTTGAAAGTACTTTATAATTACCTGCTTGCAGATTTCTGGGCAAATCGACGTAAATGATCCGTATACTTGCTAGAACACCAGCGCACTTATTACATGACTATAATTTCGTGTGTACGTTAAAAATAGGTCAGTTCTGCACGGCATAGACACTGAGTCTACACCTGAATCAAACTTCATAGCTGTATCACCTGTCGTCCTGTTGATAGTCACAAAGTGGGCGCAAGTAAATTTTATTTTTTTTTGCTGTCGCGTGCAAAGGTAGCCCAATAGGTCCTGCTCACTCTAGAAATTCGTTGAGCGTCATACTTTTTTCTACGGTTTTCATGCACAACTCTGACCGTTGGGTTGGTGATCTTCATGCAGTACGTTTGATATCCAGTGGAATCCAGTCACTAACGGCTGTTGTTCATCGGTTGTCATTCATACCCATTACGTGTCCGGCCCACCTTATCTTCGACTGTTTGGTGTATAGAAATAGACTCGAGCGGACGCCAGTAAATTTTCCATTTTTCCCTTTCGCGTGCAAGAGTAGCCCAGTGGGTTCCGCTCGCTCTATGGGCTCGTCGAGCATCATATCTTTCTTCAAGGGTCTTTGTGAAGAACTCTGACCATCGGGTCGGTGGTCTTCCTGCAGTACGTTTGACATCCCGAGAAATTCAGTCACTAACAGCTCTTGTTCATCGGTTTGTGATTCATACGCATTACGTATGCGGCCCATCCTATCTTCGACTGTTTGGTGTACAGAAGGGTATCTTTGATTTTTAATCGTTGATGCAGGTCGGAGCTTCGGATCCCTTCCCTCACTTGTGTGAAACGGGATACTCCTAGCATCGTCCTTTCTACTGGGCGTTCAATAACGCCGAGTGATCTTTCATCCTGCTTACACAGCGACCAGGTTTCTGACGCATACGTTAGGATAGGAAGTACCGTTGAGTCGAGAAGGTGAGCATGGAATCGAGTGTTATTTGTTCTCTTCACTACATCCTCGATGCTCTTGAAAGCTCCCCAAGCCGCTCGTTTTCTTCTGCTCAGCTCTGGAGCTAGATCATTCATCATATTGATTTCCCGACCTACATAGACATAACGGCAGCATTCGGAGCTATTCTTTCCGTTGAGCGTGAATGGGGCATGCGAAACCAATCCGTTCCTCATGAACATCGTTTTTGTGAGATTTAGTCGAAGACCAATCTTTCCACAGACTTTATCAAAGTCGTCAAGCATATGTTCCGCCTGGCTAATGTTTGGTGTTATAGGGACGACGTCATCAGCAAAGCGAAGATGGTGTAACTGCCGACCATCGACTTTCACTCCCATTTTATCCCATTCCAATGTTCGCATAACGTTCTGGATGGTGGCGGTAAATAATTTTGACGCGCACTCTTGACGTCGATGTTAATATTGTTGTCGAATGGTGATATCTTAGTTGCAAAATCTTTTATATTGTTGACGAAGAGTCTTTATATACTAAATAGGGGATCGCTGGCTGTCCAGGGCTTCCATGACTGTTTCTATCTCAGTTAAGTTACAGGCCTTCTTCAAATCGATGAAGGTGAGACAGAGCGGTCTTTTGTACTCTCGCTATATTTCAGTGAGTCTTGTTATCGTGTGGATGTGGTCCGTCGTACTGAATCCTTTTCGTGGACCTGCCTGCTCATATGGCTCTCTTTCGCCCAGTGTTCTGTAAATCTAGCATGCAGATTGGGTGGTAGTTGCCGATATTGTGGAGGTAACCGTTTTTGAGAAGTAGCATGATCTTGCTGGTTATCCACTCAGTTGGATTCTTACATTCAGGCAGGGAATGTGGGGCAGTGTATTCATGAGTACTGTCGGAAGGTTCTTCAGGTGTTCATATCTTTGTTCAAAGCTTACGTTCTGTCGAGGTCGAGCTGATACGCCAGCTGATCACGTCGAGTGATTCTGAAATGTGACCTGTCTTGGTAACGTTTGAATTCTCAGCTTTCATAGCGCTAACGTGATGATGTTGATTGACTCGATCGCATTTCTAGTCGGTTTCATAAAGAACTGCATCTTCTCATCAGCCGCCTAATGAAATGAGTAAGTCTTAGTTTATGGTGGTTTTCGCGCTTTGTTTGTTGAATTTAATGGATTTTTTCTACGTTCTGTGAGAAATAAACTCTTGCATGCAGGGGATGATGGTACGATCCTGTGTAGAATTTATGGACAACAGCGACTTTAATTACGCGAAACCTTAGATTTACCATGTTGTGGCATATTTCGTTGTGGTACTCTCCACTGCGAGACTCCCATGTCAACCGTTAGAAGTGGGGCTTCTGGAATTGGGAGTTGCCATGAATGGTCTTCCTCATCATTATTAGTTCAGATAGCCGCTCATCCTGCACATTGCATTCTAACCCCTGGGTCCCAATGCGACGTTCTTCTGCGTCCAATCTTAGTGTTAACATCCCTAATGTTGATCTTAGAAATCGAATGGTCTTCTCTATAGAGCTTCTCCAAGTCAGAAGAGAACAGAACTCTTCGACTTCGTCTTCGTCATAGCTTGATGTCGGTGTGTAAACGACGAAAATTTTTAAAGCGAGTATTGATACACATTTTTTAACCGTAAGCGCTTGATTCGAATTGTTAAATGTTCCACTGGATCGATGCTCATGACTAACCTCGTGTTGACGAGAACCCCGACGCCGCCGACTCTTTTGCTGTTACAATTTTCGAGGAACAGTTCTTTTCCGGTTCCACATTTGACGTTGAATGAATGGGTGGCGTTTTGTCATCTCAGCAAGTCCGATGGCGTCGAACGTTATCCTTCTTGTCTGCATGAACAAGTCCTCTGTCGAACACGAAGATGCAACTGTGCTTGCATTGTAGTTACAAATCGTTGCTTTAGTCCTTTGCGATTAAGGGAACCTAAAATGGCGATGAGATTTTAGCAGCCTCTCCATATTCGTTCTATCCAACGCTTATATATCGCCGCTTAGCCACTTAAATGTTGAGATTTCTTGAAGTGAGAGCAGTCGCTTAGCGGCTTACCTCTTGCAGATCTCTGAAACAAGTGAGATAAATGGAGAGACATCGCTAACGTATGTAAAAACTCTGTTGATATCGTTGGTTTCTACTTCTAATTTGACCAGCTTGGAAACTTCCTATGATCATTACCATTAGTCGACGAGGCATTATTTTTTAAAAGCTTTTATGATTGCTCATTATGAGGTCGTTTTATTTCCGATCATTTTAAGCAAAATAGAAGGAACATAAGCTTTAACGGAACTTTCGACGTTATGTTTGAGATGAGAAGAAAAGTTTCCAGGTGCGATATGAATAAGAATATTTTTCTGCTGCTGTGCAATACTCTTTCTTTAAATTTTAATACTGCTGTTCACACGAGCGAATTGGTGTTGGCTAAGGTGAAAAAGTTATGCAATTTGCATTTTTCGGCTACACATTTCAGGTTTTTCTGCTTTTCCTTGATGATTTTTAAGTTCATACATCACACGAATTCTTGTTAGAATTATGTTTTTGTAACGTTTTAGCGTAGTGAATGATTCCAGCGCCCTCTTGCTATGGCTATGCTTCTTCGAGATTTAGATGACAGACAACTATTTTCGGACCAAGCATTACGGTTGGAATTTTATCGACATGCTGAGATATCTAGAGCGAATATAAAGGTATTCATTGATTTTTTTCTGACTGCGTTCTTTCATTATTTGTTAGTCCTTTTGGTAAAAAAAGATAAAGAATAAAGATCTTGGCTCTGATCAATCCCTATCAATCCCTGAGAGATGCCTTATGCTTCATTAAGCGTCGTTGGAGGTGACTAAATGCATATGTGGCCTTTACAATGACTCGCGGCGGCATACTGATGTATCGAACTAATACTGCTATCCTCCCAGACAAGTCTGGTACCAATTTACCGACCCTAGAGGAATGCTTGGTAGGCCATAGGGACGGGGATGATCTAACGTCTGTGTTGCAGGGCACCGCGGACCACTACGCAACATGCGCACTGATCCTTGAAGTACATTAGAAAATTATTTTCTTCGAGAAAAGAATGGTTTCATATTAGCTTTTTTGTCGAACACCTTGAGATCAGATTTGCACGAGTTAAATATTATCATTTCAGAATTTCAAATCTATTTTGGACTTTATCACAAACGACTTACGGAATTGTGCAAGTGAGCGTGACTCATCGTATGTAAGTCTTTTTCTTCAAATAGCCTGTCATCGCATCTGTGGTGCGAATCCAGCGCTTCTTGCATTCAGTCCGTTTTCCACGCATCCATTGTCCACAGAGATGCATCAACATTTCGCATGTTGTTTCGGGTAGTGCTTGAGGATTTCATCTTTTTCATGGGCATCGTAGGATCCTGATTGAGTGATCTCCGTAATCTTGGGGATGGCCGAGCTAAGGCGTTCCCAAGTGGCTTGGAGAAGAGCTTCAGTTAGGAGAGAAACCGGCACCTTGCTTCCTGATGGACTGCATTACTAACCACTGTGCTACCTACCCACCTGTTCCCTTTTGTAAACCTCTTGCTAGCCACTGTTTAACGACTCAGTTTTTCCCTTTTTTTTATAATGTAGAAATTTGAACTCATTGCTCGTTTCATCTATATGAAACGTCATCTTGAGTGTGTATAGTGGAATTTCTTCGCTTGAATTTTTTTTGTTATCGATGTTAATTTGCGAAATATAATCAAACAAACAAACAGGGGCAGGTGACTCAGACCGCCGCGGACACCTGCGGTCCGGAGTTTTGAAAATATCTCAGCATCATTAAAGTTATATTTGGCAATATACCCTGCCATCAAAAAGAGTAGGCAGTAAATAAAACGATTAAGATGTCAATCTGTTTTTTTTCTGACTTTCATTAACGTTTGTGCGAGGTTAAAATCATTGAGATAGTTTTTATGGCTTTCAAACAGTGGATATTTGTGTTGAAATATATATATATACCCCTCCCAATACACTATCGCCTCATCGTGGCTGGGAGGTGTTCCTGGGTGTCGGACTGTGATGTATGTACAGCAAGGGGATTCGTCATTCCGGCAGGGCCTCGCAAGCTGGGAAAGAGTCCAGCGTTTCCATCAGGAAGTCTAGCCAAGAGTAAACCAATACCAGGACCACCACCGTCTTGGCATCAAAGTCGCATGGTGGTAATTCTCCCTATGATGCATAAGTGCTGCGGCCGCCTGTCGTGGTGACGACCTGAGGCAGACTTTGGGACTTTGGACAGGCTGCCCTCGGGATTCCAGGGAACTACAATGACCTAACCAGCAAATCTCGGAAAATGGTGATTATACTGGGGGCCGCACAACCAGTAATGACGGGCCGTTCATGTATCATATATATATATATATATATATATATGCACATGTATTTCCGTATGTGTATATATGATATATATATATATATATATATATATATATATATATATATATCATATATACACATACGGAAATACATGTGCATATATATATATATATATATATATACGTATATGTTTATACATACATGAACGATTGGGGAGAAAGAGAACTTGGAATTCGGAACAAGTGCATGGAGTCTCTCCAGCGCACTTCCATTTAGGCAAGAAAAAAGGTATTCATTGCAGATTCTGGACGTTATTTATCTCAACAAAGATTTATTTCGCACTGCTGACCTTATGGCAATTAGGGAATGTATTTCATTCCGACTTGCAGAGCACTGGAGAATGTAAGCGAAATTTTACGTTACTCAGTGTTGTTTTGGAGAAATTCGAACTCTTCAGTGACATATGAGAGGCTTTAGTTTGCACACTCAATCTTTTGGTTTACATTCCGCTGTGTACTGATGCTCTCTTGTTTTGCTTTTTAAATCCGTGCTTACGTTCTATTGTATTTGGAAATTCTCGTTGCAAATTTCTTGATTCTTGACGATATTCTTTTTCACCCGTAAAGTGCTTGTTTAACTTAGAAATGAGATTAGATAAATGCTTTGGTGGTTTCCTATCTAGGCCCAACACGATATCGAGGGCGCGTCGCGTGCTGGCATTTATTTCCAACGAGAAAACTGCTGCAGACGATGAACTGGAGTGGATGAAATTATGCCTTTCTGTGGAAGAGGAGATTTCTAAGCGGATCGCACTACATGTAGGAGCACATCGTTTGAAACATGGTCAATAAAACCTTTCTTAAGGTTTTGTATATTTTAAACTTATACATTTTCAAATCTTCTCCGTATCTACCTTGTGTTTATAAAATGATATTAGAAGTATGATACCTGTTGAGGTTTTTAAACGTTTAGCGTTCCTCATTTATTACTCATACCTTGCACCATTTGTAATTTTTTTTCTTGTTTCTGATTACCCATGAGCTCGTATATTGCAGGCACTGACGAGCGTGTGATTGCTCGTATGGTTGCTTTTCTTCAGGATGAAGACATTAGTATTCGAGAAGAAGTTAGTTGTGATATCAATTTCCACTCAACTATAGGTTAAAAATAGAGATTTGCTAAAGTGCGGTAAACTGAGGCTAGATTATACGCAGCGCGCTTCTGAAAATTATTAATAAGGTTTTTAGAGACGAGCCAATTTTTACTTCGAGCTCTTCTTATGGTGGTGGGGTGTTGCTCCATGCTTATAGTTTGGTTCAGGAAACGTGTTTACTTTCGAATGTATACATTTTCCAGCAGTCATTTTACAAAATTATATTTCTGTTTTCTTAGGCTTCCTCGATTTTATCACCGATTGTATCAAAGACCAATATAGTATTGAATCCTGCAGTGTGTTATCGACTGATTATGAACCTGATGCCTTCTTCAAGGGAAGAAGTAATGAAATACGAGGTTTGTGGTGGTTTGGTGTATCTGTAAATTAGGTTCACGACACTGATCAAATTCATGAAAACGTTGCCACCTTCTCCCCCGTTTGTGCTGAAAATGTATAAGAATTTGCGTCGATACGTATTGATTTCAAAAGGTAAGAAAAAGAATAAAGCTCTCGGCGTTGATCAAACCCTCATGGATGCGTCATGTATTCGACTTCACTAAGTACTGTTTGGTGGTGACTGAGTGCGTGTCTGGCCTTTACAGTGCCTCGCGGTAGCGTACGGCTGTTTGGAGCCAGTGTTGCTATCCTTACAGAACAAGTCCGGTACCAATTTGCCGATCTCGGAGTGATGAAAGACTTGGTTGGCCTTGGGTGGGGGATCGATTCTATTGTGTGTGTTGCAGGGCGCCTCCGACCACTGCGCCACACGCATCCCCTTTTTCAAAGAGTACAATGCGAAAATGATGCCCTCTTCCAACTTTCAACTGATTTACTAAACTCAGCTGATACCTGATTTTTATCTGCAAGATGTAGGTTCCGTATTCCTACCAAAGTGTAGCTCTAATTTTCTGGAGTAAATGGGATCTATATATTTTCTGCTTTTTTTCTGAGTTTATGTTTTGAACGCGAAAGCAGTTGAACAAGGGGGATTTCGTTGGGCAGGTTATGGTGCTGTTGTCCAACGTCATAAAATCTTATCTGCCTTTAAGTTAATAAAGCAAAGTTTCTTCTATAAATTTGTGAAACTTTCAACTGCATGGCTTCATTAGTGAAGAAATTATTATCTGTTCTCCAAAGGACAGCTTCGTCGAGTGATAGAATGCCTGTATAACTGTACTGATAAGGCGCAACGGATAAGCCAGAATTTTTTTCTAATTCGCGGTCTCCTAGCAGTTAATCCACTCCAAAAGTATCGCGAACATGGTTTTTCGGACCCATTGAATCAACTGTGCTTCTAAAGACGATATCGATATTCATTGCGTGAGCGATTAAGAATGAGCGAATGTACGTTAATCTAGTCGTTGTGAAAATGAACATCTACGTCAACGTTATTACGCTGCCTTCGAAGTGCACGTGAAAAACTAGTACGGTAGTGCTAAACGCCTTAAAAATAGTATTGCTAGAGACGTGCGAAACAAAGGACCCGCATGGTGTGGTGGTGAACGCGTTACTCCCCGGAAAGGACAATAGCGCGTTCGTTCCCCACCATAGACACCTGCGGTCCAGAGTTTTGCAAATATCTCAGCAACGTTGTGGTTGTGTTTCGCTTACTTAGTAACCTGCCGTGAAAATTATAGAAGGCAGAAAACAAAACGTTAAACATTGTGATTTCAACTACAGCCATAGCTTAACTGGGTTCTATGCCGATTTGCGCTCCCCAGATCAACCCCGCTGACGGGTGATTGCTGTGGCAAAAAGATCGATAGAAATAGCTGAGAGACGTGCGAAACAAAGGACCCGCATGGTGTGGTGGTGAACGCGTTACTCCCCGGAAAGGACAATAGCGCGTTCGTTCCCCACCATAGACACCTGCGGTCCAGAGTTTTGCAAATATCTCAGCAACGTTGTGGTTGTGTTTCGCTTACTTAGTAACCTGCCGTGAAAATTATAGAAGGCAGAAAACAAAACGTTAAACAGTATTGCTAGATTCCATTCTTTCTAAATCACAATGATTATAAACTGGTAGAATGTTGGTTGTCTAAGATTAGTATTTTTTCTTGAAGGTGAGAACTGACACCACTATGCAATTATCGGTCTTCACGCGATTTCAACTCGAAACCCATAATTTTTTATTGATTGTTACTGATACTGTAGTTGCTAGACTTTGTGAACACTCGTATTCTATTTCAATACACTCAAGGTCATATGCATTGGTATCACTTCATATGTGATGCGAAGAACTGGACCTTTAATCTTTCGGCGCTTTACTCTCTAAGCTAGGTTTTCGACAAATGGCAATGGTTTACCACTTGAATGTTCCATGAGATGAGAACTTCACAGATTAATAGCGCTTCGTTCATGTACACGATTTTTGTACAATATCGTTTCATTCGTAGATATGTTTAGCACTGAAATTTTGAAAAAATTGGGAACGAAACTTAAGTTCTTATGATTTGCAGCACAAGTACAACACCCGCTTGGGGAATATCCTCTTGTGGTGGCGGACGAAATCCTTTTTGCTAGAGTTTGTTTTAGAATTTGAAACGCGAGCTTCAGCTTTAAAAAAACGAAGAATTATGTTTTGTCAGCCGCAGAAAAGCTGAAATTTATCTCGGCATAATATGAATGATTGCAATATCTAGGCAAGTATCAGTAGGTTCTAATAGTGTTTATTTCCACTAATTAGATTTAAGGCGATTTGAGATGTCGTCGTTGAAACTGAAAACAACATCGCATGCATTGTGGTCAATGCATGTTTTGCGATATATGTTGAAATCTATGGGGAGTTGTTCTAAAACCAGTGCAGTCGTGAATATGTTTTCATATTATGTCGAGCTCTTAGTTTAGTATCAAGTCGATGTTATTATTGTTTGATGTAATCAAAACTATTTCTCTTGTTTTTATTAGCTCCACATAGAAATCTGGAAATTTCGTATAAATACTTTGTTTGATCTAAAAACTTTTATGTATCACTGGATCTAACCAAAATCAAGATCCAGGCTGAAGGTGTGTATTAGGAGATTGAACTGTATTCCGGTCAATTTTACATAGAGCTGGTATTGCAGGCTCCTAGGAAATGATCTGGGAAGCGTTTTGGGTGCTTATGCATCAGGAACCTTGCTTTATTCTCTAGTTACTTGTTCAAAACTGAAGTCTATTCTTAAAATTACTATAAAATAGCGCATAGTTAACATTGCATGCATCTTTATTGTGTAAGGTTAAGAGTTTTGTAGATGCTTCTTTTTCGCCCATGATTGATCCGGACGGGATCTCTTTTCACAAAATAGGTAATATATTTCGAATAATAGGAAAAACATGTAGTTGTGTGACTCACCCGTATTTTCATGTCTCGAAATAAAATAAAATGCAACATAAAAGTTCGTTTCTACACCCATGCTTTCTGAACCTCGTTCATGTAGGAACTACACACATCGAGCGAAGCCCTATATGATGCGTGTTCATCGAATCCTTATGCAGAGTGGGGTTACTTTGGCGACTTCACTGATGTTAAGGTTATGGCAAATGCATTGTAAACAGTGAACAAAGAAAGCTTTAGCCAAATATGCGATTTATTTATTCGGACTAGTTTCTTAATATTTTGAAGTCCTCTTTGTTATGCTTTTGTTCTGTTAACTTAGGTTGTTGCGAATGGAATTGTTTTTATGCACCATTGAGGGTATTTGCAGTTCTGTTACTATATTTTAAGCCCAAACATGTTGTCCTGTATTGCTTTCTTTCTAGTAATTCTTCTTGAGATATGTTATTTTGTAAACTCTATGAATAAATGATTTTTGCAGTGTAGTAACCGTATACCAATTATATCAGTTAAACGAGCGGCGGTAGGCTTGCTCTGTGAGCTTTCCGAAGTCTGAGGCTTAAGGTGGTCATTTAGGTTATGAATGTATTAGTATAAACCCGGATTTTAAGGTTAATCACTTTTATGTTTTTGGTTTGTTTTTTTTTCTGACAAGTACGTAAAAATTGAAGGAAGCAGAGAGGATATTTAACCTGCTTCAACGTGCTATAGAAATGTCTTTGTTTCCAAACTCAGCATTTTGTGTTTAGACTCAGGGTCTCTTGAATTTCATAAGGTCAGGTGTTTTACAAAAAATTTGTTATGTGATCTAGCAATATTTTGCTCCATTTTAGTTTAGCAGTCATTCTTTGAGCCAAGATCTCCGCGTACGGTGCTTCTTGATGCATGGGAGTTGCGTTGACTACTTGTCTAGCGCACATTTACTTGGTTCGGTGCCGATCTGTGTTTGAACAAACAAATTATCATTTCCTGTTTTCTTGATGAGCAAACATGAGATTATTACTTTGTTCTCTACTTGCAAAAATGCTGACATTTCGGTAGATCTCGCATCCAGAGTCTAGAAGGGTCAACTTGACTGCAATCTGGTCGGCCAAACACCTTCATAAGCAAAACTGAAAGAAAAACGGAACCAACATTCCAATCGCATTGCGAGCATTATGGCTTCGTTGCAGACTCACAGCTTTCCGTGACGCTTCCACTGAGTATCTCACCCTAGAGAGCAGTCGCACAGAGTTCACATGGTTGAGTAATGTGTCTCTTCCACTGAAACATGTCTGAAATATTGTGTGAGATCACGCGTTAATGAAGCATTCCTCCCTGCGATCCATTCTTAAGTTACTGGAGTTTATCCACAACGTTTCAAGAGTTTTGTGCGCTGAAGTTTTCTATTTTTGTGCAAGGATGGTAAAACTTCAAAATGTCTTTTATGCCTTCGTGTCCTGTTCGCTCCTAGTAGAGTTTTCTGTTCGACTTTAAATTTCCCAACTAGGTGTTGTTTTACATGGAATGCGAGTAATCGGCCGTTTCGCCGGCGTGCTCGTCCCCACACCTTTTGCAGGAGATTAAGTACACCTTAGTCGAATTAGGGCATACCGTGTAGTTTTGCGTTCTGTATAGACGGTCATACAGGCGGTTACGAATTAACTGCCGCCTTAGAGTGCTCGCTGGAGTTTAAATTATTGCTTCCGAATTCTCCAACCCTGCTCTTTTTACGCTACATTTTATAGCTGCACTTTTGGAAATGAAAAGTAGGATAAAAGTGATCTCATTCTCGCCAAAGTTATCGTTTGAAGCATGAACTTTCCTCTACGTTTATCCCAAGGAGCTACAGTTTCGTAGCCATTGGGAATGGCTTTTTGCTCGCGTCAATTTCAAGGATTCTTCCTTCTGCTCTCTTCTTGTGCGCACAGTGGTGGCAACTTGAAGCACGTTTTTCACAAGCTTCCTTTTTGTGTGTGAGCACTGAGAGCGCGGTTAATGCACCAGTATGTTTTGTTACTTCGCTTTCAGTAGTACCTGGTGGTATAACCGTTTTCAGATAGGTTAGTTTGAACGTTCAGAAATAGAAGCCTGTTTCCTGAAGGTTTCTCTTGGGTGAATGTTATATCCTCTCACTGTTCGTTCGATAACTCAAAACATTTGTCCACCTCCTTCTGTGTGGAGCAGACGACGAAGCCATCATTTATGTTTTTCTTCAAGTCGGTCTAGGGAATTGCTGCATCATTTATGTATCAGCAGTAGAGTAATGGCCAGAAATCGAATTCTAGAGCTGCCGCCATAGACATATAGGCAATGGCAAAGCTCTGTGCCAGTCGATGTACCATTCCCAACACTCTTCCTTTTAGGGACTACTTCCTTGAGCATCGAAAGATTGAGCAGCTCAAGCACTCCTTTAAGAGGACCATGGTCTGCCGAATTGAGAAGCCATACATGTTTATTGCTTTCTCATGCCGCATAAGGAATTCGAGTACGGCTTGCATAGTGGGGTCATTCTACACGTTTGTATAAAGGGCGGTGACGTCGAAGGGCTTCATCACGTAAGCACTGTTGGAACACGCTTTATGTAGACGATCCAGGAACATCTCGGTGTTCTTAAGATGGGCCGGAATGTGTTTCAGAAGCTGAGTAAGTATTAGGGTTAAAAACCATGTTATTCTAACCGTTGGTACATCTACACGGCCATTGACAGTGTGGCCTTGAATAATTGTGGACCGGTTGGCTAGTAAATCTTTTTACCAACGTCTTATTTACTTGATAATCGAAGAAGGTATTGAATATTTCTTTCGATGTTTGATGATAGGCGTTTTAAAACTAGATAATGTTTTTCCATCTTACCAGCTCTCGAACCAGTCGCGGCCACATTTCAGCGTTTCTATGGGACTGAAGCAGGACTTCTTCGCAATGTAGTTACTAAATACTTTACAAGTTTCGTACGCAAATATCCGAAATTTGATATCAACTTGACTGTTGAGGTGTTGTTGCCAAAAGAACGTCTGAGGAAACCGTCAGTAGTGGTATTGCCTCTACTTCTTGTTGCTTACTTAGTGTTTCAACTGTTTCTTTTTCACGGAGTCTATCTTAAAGTTCATGTAAATCATATAGAACCCTACGCAAAGATACCATAGAACTGGGTTCGGCTGGTGAGAAACTTAGCGAAATGAGAAGAAAACTGAACTTTGTCACATTTTGTATCTACCCATAGAGGTTCAGTATACGTGATAAAGGACTTAGATTAACTGTTTTTGCAAATGGAGTGAAATTAATGTTGCATTGGTGCCTTTCGAACAATGACGAATGGAGAACTTGACGCCGATTCACTCAACAGTCGTCTAGTCGCAATGCTACACGGCAGATACCTGGGGTATTAGCAACCACATCGAAGATTTAGCAAGCACACTATCCGAAAGGATTCTGGAAGTTGTCATCTGAATACAATCACCATTATCAATGTGAAATTGGACTAAAGTTTGAAATATTCGAAAGCAAGTCTACATGGCCATGCACCCTGTGAAAAGAGTTGACGAAACATGGATAGGAAGATTTACACACAAACTCCATGGGTATAAAAACAGCCTTCTAAGAGACTACCTATCATATCGGCGGACTACGTCAACTTTCAAAGGTTAATGCGATCTATTAGATTATATTAATAATAGTTGAAGATGTCAATGTGCACGATGTAAAACATTTATATGGACAATGCTTCTGAGAAAACGATTGCCAAGAAAGAACCAAAAGAAATCTATTGCACTTCTTCCTTGCAACTCGTGAAGACAAATCCTACTGCGTTTCCGTCGGCTATTTGGTGTGCTCCACTGGGTTATTTTTTTTTCATGGAAAATGGAAGATTCTGGAAGGTCAATGTATTCCTAGTGATGTTTCACTGATGTTTCACTTGTTATATGCGATCATTATATACGACCATTATTTCATTAATTCGTTCAGTTTACTTGAAATATGTATTGTAGCACAGTGGTAGTGATGCCGCTCAATATACGCAAAACCCTACTTAGGTCTCTCTCCCCGGACAAAACAAGGTGTCCATCTCTGAGAGGTCCAGAAATCGCTACCGGGCTTTTCTGGGATCGCCTTACTTCTTTCAGTCCAGAAAAGCTGACGACCGTCTGTGATGAAGGTCTGGGAACGCGCGAGCACGGATATCTCATGAATTCAAGGTGAACAGGAGCAACCGACTTAGCCAGCTTTTAAGATTGCTCATGAACAATGCAACTACATTTTCAGACAGCAGTCGAACCTACATGAAAAGTCTGAAATTTTCGTGGATGACGGATACGAGAAAACGAATCGAATGAAAGAAGTGCTAGTATCCGCACAATATGTGATGTTCACTCGCGTGAAAAAATGTAGTCACTTGACTTGTCATAGAATATGTAGTTTACGGACTCAGTGGAAGGCTAAGTTACTGATCGATTAAAATGTTCTTAAAATGAGAAATCGCAACTGATATGGGTTTTAAGGTGTTTTTGCAAATACACAAAATAAAGTTCGCTTCGCTTCGCCTCCTCTTTTTTCAATTGCTTGCGCCCTCGAAACTGAATTTTCCTTCGTAATTTATCTTGACCATGGTTGAGTAATCGACGTTTTTCTCCAAGTGCGGAAAGACGACAATGTCCATGTTGTGAGTGATAGCCACCTCTCTGAGCACTTTAAATCGCTAGGCAGACGGCGCATTCATCCAGAGCAGCTTCTTTTCCATTGCTTTTCGATTAAGGTTACCGGTGTTTATTGCGGTCACAAAAAAATATTCAGTGGTATTAAGGCAGCTGTAAGAACAGCGATCTCAGTCGAGAAGAACTGTATCACGAAGAACATGATGGCTGTGATGATGGTGACCAGGACTGCGATGGAGCTGCACCACGTGTGGGTAGCTTCGATCCAACACATCGACCCGCATCCTCCGCCTCCAGCTAGGCGAGCTGGAAACGGGCGATCGATACGGGAATGAACCAGAGGAGACTTTGCCGAAGACCCAGCCACATAGCAGGCGACATTCTCAGAGCTGCAAAGTCGAACGTAAGCTCCGCTCTCTAGCCGGCTTCATGTCCACCCCGCCCACTTGTTCTTGTAGTGGGAGTGGCAACGAGTAAAGCGGGACCAATTCTTGATTTTCTCCCTCTTCCTCGTCAATTTTGGCTTCTTCCAACAAAATTTTTGTTCGTATTTGTAAGAACGCTAGGTAATTTGATCATTCTAAGAAGTTCTTTTCTATTTCAGATCCGTTGAAGACGGATTTTCTTCTTTTTTCGATTCTCCCTATATTTTTTCGTCCATCGGTCCTTCCGTTTAGTTGACCTGAGTGCTAAACTTTCCCCCGTTTGTTTGTTTTTTTTTCATGACTGCATTTAAATATTCCAACTTAGTAGCTCAGTCAATCGCTATTCGCTCTGGTGGAGAAAATTCGGACTCATTCAGTTGTTGAAGTGTTGTTGACGTTGAGACCTCTGCGAACAAAACCACTTGCAACACAGTCAAGCATGGCTCATTATCCGATTGCGTAGCCCTTTGCCTCCTGTTTCCGTCACTTCTCGACAAATTTTCGAATTCCTGTTGCTGCATAGTTGGAGTGTTTTTCAAAAAAACTGGAGGAAAATAGTGGGTTGTTATTTAAAATATGAGCACCTTCTTGCCTGTAGGGATTCCGAAGTCTCTGATGGACTTGTAATTTCATCATTTCAAGGGTTTTATGTGGTAATTTATATTATAACATAATAAAGCCCATAGCACGCCTTCAATAGTTCCGTAATGTGTATAAATATGTGTATGAATGCATGTTTGTTTGTACGTATGTATGAATGTATATGTCTACGTATACGTATATATGTATATATGTATATGTATATGTTTATATGTAAATGTATATGTTTGTATGTATATGTATGTATGTATGTATATGTATGTATGTATGTATATGTATGTATGTATGTATATGTTTGTATGTATGCATGTATATATATATGTATGTATATGTTTGTATGTAAATGCATGTATGTATATGTATGTACGTATATGCATGTTTGTATATGTATGTATGTATATGGATGTATGTATGTATATATGTATGTATGTACGTTTGTATATACATGTATGTATGTATGTGTTTGCATATATATGTATGTATGTATACGTCTGTATATGTATGTATGTATATGTATTTATGCATATGTATGTATGTATATGTATGTGTGTATGAGTATATATTTATATGTATTCATGTATATGTATGTATGTATATGTCTGTATATGTATGTATGTATATTTATGCATATGTATGTACGTATATGTGTGTATGTATATATTTATATGTATTCATGTATATGTATGTATGTGTACGTCTGTATATGTATGTATGTATTTACATGTATGTATGTATATGTATGTGTGTATATGTATATATTTATATGTATTCATGTATATGTATGTATGTATATGTATGTATGTATACGTATGCATATGTATGTTTGTATATATCTGTATATGTATGTATGTATATGTATTTATGCATATGTATGTATGTATATGTATATATTTATATGCATTCATGTATGTGTATGTATGTACATGTATGTATATGTATATGTATGTATACCTATGTATATATATGTGTGTATGTTTATGTATCTATGTGTATGTATCTATGTATATGTATGTATGTATGTATGTATATGTATGTATGTATACGTATGCATATGTATGTTTGTATATATCTGTATATGTATGTATGTATATGTATATGTATATATTTATATGCATTCATGTATGTGTATGTATGTACATGTATGTATATGTATATGTATGTATACCTATGTATATATATGTGTGTATGTTTATGTATCTATGTGTATGTATCTATGTATATGTATGTATGTATGTATGTATATGTATGTATGTATGTTTGTATGTATGTTTGTTTGTTTGTTTGTTTGCATGTATGTATATATGTACGTATGTTTGTGTTATCATTGCTGTTATTACTGTTGTTTTCGACTTCGACTCAGTTATTATTTCGGTTTTCATAGCTTTACCTGCATTTAATTCTAACCAAATGATTCTTAACAAGAAGAAGATCTATCGCTAATAACGCAACGCCTCTATACTTAAGCAATTTCCTAAGGAAACACATAGCGTTCCCCTGCCTCACTTTTTTTCGCTGACATATTGGAAGGATAGCTAAGTCTTGCAGAAAAATAATGGCTGGTTTTGAATAGCAATGGAATATGATAGCTCATCTCAAGTAGCACGTTATTAGTCATAATAAAAATCCTCAGAGTCTTCACGTTTTCGCCAGTTCATACTTCTTTGTCTCGGTAGTTTATAATTATAAAGTCGAGAATGTGATCAATTCTCCGAAGACATTTGTATCAGCGTTAGCTTATTAAAGAGCTTCTCTACTAGAATTTATGGTGATGCCTGAAAAATGGTAGATGACTAGGGAGAGGTCCGATGAGATGGTGGGTAAGGTAGGGTTTCGTACCTCGGTTCGTCCAATTTCTGCTTCATTAGTTATGCGTTGCATGGTAGGCCGTTGTGGTGCACGAAAACAGAGCCTAGTTTTGGTCATGTCTGGATTCATGCGCTGCAATACTTGCAGGATTCAAATAATACTTCTCCTTTTCTATTGTCTTGACAATACCCAGGACCCATTCTTCGTTTTGGTGAAGACGAAACGTCGTCGTAACCACCTCTTGGCACAAACTAGGTTTTGGAAAATGTGTAAGGAAATGCTTTATCGCGATCTCTCCACTAGAGTAAACGCATCGGCCATCGGTAAGCCAATAATTATTCACTGTATGTCAATGCGATCGATAATTGGCTCGTTTTTTTCCAGTCAGTTCATGCAACTGGCATTTCTGAAGCTTTTCACCCTGCGAATCCCTTCCATAGCACCAACAATTGCTGAGTCGTGAATAATGTTCTTCTAGAAATACTGAGGTAGCTTCTGCAGAAACAGCTCCACTCGTCGCCTTCACCTGGTCATTCTCAGTTGCCGATATGTGTCAACGGTATTCTTCGTCATGAAACGTATCTCCATTACAAAACATTGAGAACTATGGATGCATTGCGCATTCGAAAGCCCTTCTGTGTCCTATGCTTCGATAAGACTTTGAGTTGTCTAAACGCTTTCTAAATCGTTGTAGATTGGACATTAGGATGATATACTACCTGGAAGAATAGTAAATAAGAAAGAAGTTTTAAAATCAGATGCGGAAATGGTGTAAGGAATAAAAATGCATTGTATTTCTTGCAAGTAACTCAGCTAGCTTCATCGCTAGTCAAATAGCGCGTGTGGCGCAGTGCTTCGAGGCGCCACTGCGAATCCACACCCGTGGAATCGATCTCAGGGCCCATGGCCCACCAAGCCTTCCATCCCCACACGGTCAGCTGATTAGTAGCAAGCTTGTCTAGGAGGATAGCAGCACTGGCTCGATACGTCTGTTGGGCAGCAGCAAAAACGACCATTGTTTTCCACTACTCTAGTTTATAAACGTTAAATTTATATGAATTCAAATAGAACAAGAAGGATGAGAAGGCTAATCAATGCTGTGTTCACAATAGGATTGGCTTGACGTAACAGGCAGCCTAAGGAATCATCTCAGGTTTCAGCTTCGAATACGTAAACCAGCTAGCCACTTTTATGCCTAACAATCCCGTTGTCGAGATCTTGAGCATCGATTAGTTTGAACGGGTACCCTGTGATTTTCTACTCATCTTTGTCGTGCATGAGAGATGCTCGGTAATGTCTGCCTCTTCATAGTACGCGAAGAGTATGCTCATTTTTGCTATTGGGCCTTTTTTTTGCTGTTTTTCACAATGGACCAACAAGCTGTATGGTGAACACTCGATCAGAATCAGTGAGGCTTTGAAGGTGACGAGGTCTGTTTTCGGTGAACTGTCAGCTACCATAAGACCCTTTCGCGCAGACACCGACCGGTTACCAAACTCTGCTGTGGTATAGATTTGCTCTTCACCAAGCTACCATATAAAACCTTTAACTCCACTCCAAAGTTGACTCTGCCGGAAGATGAATTTGCTTGCAGACCTCAGATTTTCTACAACCAGGTACATCCGCTTGCCACAGTGAGTTGGGACATCATTAACACTTAAAATCCGACGTAGATTGATTTCCACTCGCACGACGCGAAAATAGTGGCTGTTTAAGACTTCGAACCAACACATCTCAGGTCATTGACAGATAAAACTATCGGCGTTGATCAGTCCCTGATCTTCATAGAATCATTGAAGAGAGGCACCATGCATTCTTCTTCATTAAGCATCGTTTGGAGGTGATTGAATGCATATCTGGACGTTTTAATGACTCGCGGTGGCCTATCGATGTATCGAGCTAGTGCTGCTATCCTCCCAGATACGTCTGGTACCAATTTGCCGGCCCCGGAGGGATCGAAGGCTTGATGGGCCATGGGTGCGGGGATCGACTCCACCTGTGTGTTGCAGGGCAACTCCGGCCGCTGCACCACACACTCAAGTTATTAGTGAACTTTTATTAACTGAAGTAGAAACCATTAAAATCAATAGATCTTCGACAGTTACATACATGTTCTCTTTTACTAAGATGGAGTTCTGATTTTATGGAGCCCGGGAATCGTGATCTTGAACTCTTCTTTTGCTGAGGTTCGTATTTCGAAATGAAAACGATTAAATCAGTTGCACTTCGTCTTTAGAACACGGTGATGGTCTCAAATGCGTTGTTAATGTTTATGGCTGCATGGATTTCATGTGGAATCTTAAAGATTCATATCTCATCTTCATTTATTTTGGAAACTTTGTTCTAAACAACTTTAAAAAATCAAATAGCACTTTCAAAGGACCACACTTACACTTAACATTCGCAGCAAAGCTGGTTCTTCCAGAGTTGACGACGATTTCTAGGTCCATAAAGAGTTTCTGGAGTTCAG